GATTAATACTCTCCCCTTAACCTCCAAATAGAAACCCGAATACGATAAACCCCTTCAAATAAAAACCACAATAACACAAGCTTATACTAGTGATTCCAATATTATGGTTTTCAATAGATACTAGTAGCAACCTACTAAATCAAAAACTGCAATGACTCTTGCATAATGAATAATGATCACTACGTAGCTGAATTGGCAAATCATGAACTCAAGTATAAATGTTGTAGAACAAGTAAAGCGTTGAAGGAGGTATGATGGAGTTCAGCAACGCCTCGCATAAACCTCTCACATAAGTAACAATTATACTGCATTGTAATATAGAGAACGAATAGGGAAAGTCAAAGATGACGTACTAATAACTTTGAGAAAATGAACCCCCTGACTTCCTGGCTAAGATCCTCAGTCCTAGGATCTTCCAAAGTAACACCTGAAATAGTGCAACTCAAATGTTAACAAAGGCAATAAAATTGGCAACTTAGAATTATACAGCAATATTCCCAGAGTCAAAATAAATCAAGCCAAGTGTTCCAACCCTTTTTAATTGTACTATCATCCATAGCCTTATATTCCATGTTCTTGAGGGCAAGTTCTACTCCATAGCCTCCTAAATTCAAGGATTCTCTAGCTCCAACAGCAACACAATGGTGAACTTCTGACTCACAGCCAGAGGGTAGAACAGGTCTAACAACATACTTTACCTGCCCCTGTAAATTTCAACCCAACTGATCAGAAGCAAACATAAAAATTTGCCAACGACAATATCAGAGGTAAGACTCCTAACATCTATACATAACAATGAGAACCTACAACCTGCATTTATACGGCCATAAGGAATTTCTTATCTTGAAGAGTATTATTGACCACCATATCCAGTAGAAATAACTAAAATACCTTCTACAACATTGTATCCCAGGATGTTAAAAGTTCAAAGCATTGATGGATTTCAATAATAATCTGAACCAGCAATTTATGATGATGTTAACAACAACTGCATTCCAGCTAGCCAAAAAGCAGGAACACAACACAATGTAGGTACGAAGCCATTCATGACATTGTCACATAAAGAATTGTAGCACCTTGCAAACCTAGTGGAAGAAAAAAAATTATTTCTATGCTTCTTAGGATTGTAACTACGATATGCCACTCTCAGATTAATCAAGATGGCTAGTATGACATTTACTGTCTATTAGGTTGGTAATGCGTTTCAGAATCTATAGTAATAAGGCCTTTGGCAACTATAACAATGGTAGCATCTAATTCCACAGAGTCTTGGAAATCTTCTGGTGTGCTTTCGGAAACAAGAGAACAATTTAATTTACGAAGATGAAATGATAAAAAATTTCGAACAAGCCAGATATTCCAGGCAAACAAATCAAGGTGAGAACCAGAATCAAAATTTGAAGTAAGAGCTAAACCTCTTTGGCAGCTATAACCAGGGCAGTGTGGAACTCCTTAAAACAGTCTGTCCCAATAGCTCCATATAATATAGCAACATGACTTCCAGCACGTGAGTTGAAATGAATATGATCGAAGTCAAATAGTTCTGGTTGCTGAAAAGAGTCTCCTGCACTGGCAACAAAGAAATAAGGGTATGTAACTATGAGAAATCGGTTCAGTGCCATTCAAATTAAGGACAATAAGAGCCTCCACCACGTGACAACATAAAAACATACGAAGCAGGGTTACTGCGGATCCATAATTGCAACTCTGAAACGTCAAAGAATAGTCTTCCACCAGTATCTACCCAACAACACTTCCCACTAGGGCTGCTAGGGTTTCTTCCAACAAGCAAAGGATCAGACTTCTTCATTTCACTTGTCTCTACAACTGCGCCACCATCAGCTGACGTCCCATCATCCGACGGAGGGAAAGAAGCAAGAGACTCCTCTGCTAATTGTCGATAGAGTTGTAATCTCGGCGATGCTGATCTCAGAGTAAGAGAGAACTCAAATAAAGAGGCCAGTGGATCACTCAGAAGACTACTGCCTAGATTTACAATCCTTTTGAGACAGTCTTTAGCTGAATAAGTATCAGGTTCATCTTTCTCTATCTTGTCCCAAACGTCAATGAATTCCCAGTATAGGTCCTTCCATTCCTTGGATAGTAACTCTCTGCAAATAAAGAGTTGGGAAATTTTATGAGAGATAGAATCATGAACTTTAAATATTTCAACCGGATGATTCACGGGAGCTTCTACTTTTGCCATATAATTAAGAAATTCCAGTCCCACCCTACACAGAAGTAACGGCATTCCCAAACTATCCAATCAAATAAGGAGCCCCAATTTTCGCAGAGCTCCATAGGGACACTTGAACTCAACCATACGCAGAGACGGAGAAACGGAGATATCAATTACGTTAAATTGCAATGGCTAGGACAATAAATCAGAACCCATACCCGGCTTCCAGTAAGACTGGAGTGCCTTCCCACTTCGCTCGAACAGCAACTTGCACGTTCTTGGGCCGGCGATTCTGGCCCCGTGCCGGACCCAAGCCGGAAAAGCACAAACAAGCTACGATGATCAGGACACAGAAACTGGATCTAAATCGGGTCGTCGCCATCGCTAAACTCCGAAACGGGCTCCAACCTATCCTTCTTCTACTGGTATCAAAGGAAATCCGCCATTGATCGGATGGAAGGGGAAGAAGGAAGGATTCAGTCAGTGAGAACAGTGAGAGAGTGAGCGGCCGCCGGGGAATCGAGGGGTTTGTTTGTACGACTTCCGGAAGAAGAAGGAGACTTTCGTCAGTCGTCCCTTTGTAACGGGTAAATGGTCTTTTCACATAAAATTCTGCGCGTGTAAAGCCTTGTCAATTTGACTGACGTGGTAGTTTCTGATTGGTTCTCACTGGGAAGTGACTTTGACTTCTTGCCTTGTTGGTAGGGGTGGGCGTTCGGTCGGTTCGGTTCAAACCGAACCGAACTAGTATATGCCGATTTTCCGAGATCACAGATGGCCCAACCGAATTCGAACCGAGCTATATTTCGGTTCGGTTTGCCCGAACCGAAATATAACTCGGTTCGGTTCGGTTTTTTTGTCAAAACCGAATTTATGCAGCTGAAGACTTCCCCTCTTTGTCTTCAGTCATTCACCCATTACCTCGCTCTCTCTCCTCTTTTTGCTCTTCTCCGCCTTTTCTCCCTCTTTCCCATAAGCAGAGGCTGCAGAGCAACAAAGCCCAACCCTCCGTCCCTCCCTGCTAGGGGTGTACATGGGTCGGGTGGTTCGGGTTTAACCATTTTAATCACCCGACCCATGCACTACGGTTTGAGAAATATTAAACCCAAACCCACCCAAAAAAATTTAAACCCTACGGTTTATTTCTAATTGGGTTGGGTCGGGTTGGCGATATTTTTAAGTAAAAACCCAACCCAACACAAAATATGTAATTATTCTACAACATAAAATATATTTTATAAATAACTAAATTTCAAATGAATAAACCGAGGTGAAAGGCATCAAATTTCACAAATGTTGTTTCATTTTTAATAAAATGTGGTTTACTTCAACATATGTCTAATTTTTTCACGATATTTGTTAAAATAGGCTAAAAAGGTTATAAAAGAATGCACCCATAATATGTTATTCTATTAAATTGTACACAAGAAAAAGGATTACATGAATCATAGCTATATTAAATTTATGTCTAAACTTTAAACCTAAGAATGCATTAAATTAGGGGGACCATGAGAGAAAAACATGGTGAAATATCTTAATTTTAGCATAATTATAAATGACATAAATATTTTTGGATACGAACTCCTACCAATAGTTGGAACACGGGTTGGGTCGGGTTCTACGGGTTGTGTAATCCAAAATCCAAACCCAACCCAATATAGGCGGGTTGTACAAAAGAAAACCCTCACCCAACCCGAAACCTTTGTTTTAGCGATAAATACGGTTGGGTTGGGTCGGGTTGGACGGGTGGGTCGGTTTACGGGTGTGTTTGTTCACCCCTACTCCCTGCCTCTTCGTCATTCCCAGCTCCCACAAAAACCAACACTCCCTGACTCTTCGTTCTCACTTCTCCCCCAAATCGATTCGTCTCATCTCCCTCTATCCCCGACCATCGTCTCCACTCCCCGAATCCCCCAACCTCAACCATGCATCTCATCCTCTACCTTCGACAGAGATTCAAAAATCTCCCCCAATCACCCCCAATCTCATTGATTCTCTCTCACCGACTCACTGTCAAAGGCTACCAATGACACATGCACCGCCGGGGTCAGCAGAGGCCACCGATGACACATGCGCCGCCCCGGGAAGCAAGAACAGATCCGGACTCTCCTTCGATTCATCATTTGTTTTTTTTTTGTTTGATTCTGATTTGTTCTAGGTTTGCTAATCTGAGGTTTTGTCTTTTTTGATTTGGTTGGTTTTGAGTGGTTCTAGAAGAAGAAGAAGAAGAAGAAGAAGATGGCGACGGCAAAGAGGCAGGGCAGGATGCTGGTTCTGGAAGAAGAAGAAGATGATGATGATGATTTTGGAATGTGCTAGGGTTTTAGTGGCAGAGAGTGGGCTTGGGTTGTGGGCTGTATGTGCGGTGGGCTTGGGTTGTGGGCTGTATGTGTGAGGGTGGGCTTGTAAATGTGGGATGTGTGAGAGTGGGAGAGGAATTTCGGTTTGTTCGGTCGGAATTCGGAATTTCGGGTTCGGTTGGGCACACCTGGTTTCCGAAGTATAGGGTTTTGCCTTCCGAACCGAATAACAACAATTCGGTTTCGGTTCGGTTTATTTCGGTTTCGGTTTGGTTCGGTTCGGGTATACCGAACCGGTTGCCCACCCCTACTTGTTGGAGTTGGTTTTATGCTTCTCAAATCTCCAAAATATTTTGAAGAAGACTTAATTTTGGGTATATTGGCCTTGATAATTTGGGTATTCATACAAGAAACAAAACCGTATCAAATTACATAGCAAAGCCGACAGCCATGCATACGAAGCTAAGCATGTGGTGGGTTTACAACTTGACATCACCATTAGTGCTAGGGTTTGCAGACTTCTAAGGATCCCCAACAAGACAAGATGAAGCATTGAGATTAGGGTTTGTGAGTGACCCATCTTTCATAATCCCCTTGACAATCAGTCTGTAAGTTGCTTCAGTGAAATGAATCCCATCCCAGTTCACATATGTTGAAGGCTCATCACAACAGATAGTCGATCGATTCATCCCTCCATTGCAACACGGTTTCAGAACTCCGCCGGTGAACCCTGTGGACAACAATCGTAAGAAAGTGGTTAAAGTTCATATATATGGATGAACCTCTGGCTCAACAACTCGAGTGGTTGGAACCAGCTAATTTTTGACATGGTATCAGAGTTGGTTTGTCTTTGAGGTCACGTGTTCAAGTCCTCACAACCCACAATATTAAATGTAGTCTTAAAACACATGGTATGGGGGGGCCCAGCCAGTGCAAAGTTCAAGCCCATGAGTTTTTCATTTCGAGGAGTCGTGGAAGAGAGTGGTTAATATCCATACACGCGGACTTCTCCCAACAACTCGAGTTATTGGCTCCAGGTGTTTATAACAAATATTATGATCTAATTTAGCATGTAATCACGCATATATGAACTACTTCATGGTGAATACCTACCAAACTGACTCGGGGAACGATAGATGGGCATGATAGCGTTGTAGTAGTCGACATAGATGATGTTGGCATGGGGATAAAGTTGTCTCGTCTTATTCACTTCAATGTGAAGTTGTTCATTATGAAGTTCCGAGAACTTATTGTACTGGACGAGGCAACCCGTGTTAGGATCATAGTCTCTCGGGTTCGAGCTCGGAAAACGAGATAAAATGTCGGGCACGCATCCAACGGGGAAATTTCCAGGGACCAAGATGTTGACTGCACCTAATTTGATTACCTCCTACATCGATGTCGAATGACAATTTAGTTAACATATTGAAACATATCATCAAAGAGAAAAACCATGAAATGGATAACAATTTGGAGGGGCAGACCTTGAGAGCCAAACCTATGGTATTGACCACCACAGGAACAAGATGTTGAACTTTTTGGAGGCTTATTCCAGAGCGTAAAGCAAAATTGTAATCGTTGCCCCCAATTTCTCCGAAAAGTATAAGAGAATTGTTCAAGAGATTGTTGTAGGCTACATGGTTAAAACAGTGATTTTCTTGTTATATATGAACAGACACAAAAAGTATATCAGGTTAATATCACTGGATGATCTATACTTGGCGAGTTATGTCATTTGTGTCTCAACTTTTGTAAAATGACAATTATAGTACAAAATTTCAATTCAGCAAAAAATTGGGACACAAATGACATATTTTCCAAAGTATAGGTCCTCCAACGATATTAAAATATTATACAATATTGGAGGGAAATAATGAATTTTAAATATGGCGTATGGAATATGCCGGCAATGAGAAAGAAAAGGGAGGTGCTAATTGTACAAGAGTTAGCACCGTCCTAACCAAGAGTTAGTAGTGATTTAGCTTAGATATTGTATTGATTTTATAATAATCCGTAGTGATTTCGTTGTTTTTAGTAGCGTTTTTTGCTAGTTATCACGGTGCTAACCCCCTATAAGGGTTAGCGCCTAATCCCATCCCGAAAGAAAAATAAGCCGGAGAGACTGACTTGCCTGCACCGCCGGCCGGAAGCAATTTTCGGAACGAACCCAACTGATACCCCAAAGAAATGTTATTTAGGAAACAGGGGATCCCTCTGTTTTTAAGCGAGTCGCAGTCGAGAGCCGTCGCACCGGCCACGGCGAAGTTGGCGCCGGTCCGGAAATTGCTCTGCTTTCCCAGCGACGGCGGTACCAATGGAAGCCCCATGTATTCAGCTGCATTCAGAAATTAAAAAGAACTAATAAGGAACCCACAAAATAAGATCGAAAGAAAGAAAGTTCAATTTAGATTCAGAAGACGTACCGATGAAATCGATGATCAAACGGCCGTCCCCATTCCGGCCGGTGGAGCGGTGGAAAAAAGTCCGGCCGTAGGGGAGAGAGCAGGGAGGTTGGAGCGGCGAGAGTATGCATTCATTTCCGGTGTCGGCGATGGAGTCGCCGAAGCTGAAGATCGACGTGTAGCATGCGGTGGCGCCGGCTGTGATTGTGGGTAATAGAAACAGAGCTACCAGGACGGCCAGACCTCGCCGGAGAAAACCACCGACCGGGTTAACACTATAATTTGGATCCATCGTATACTTGTTTTTTGCTCTTTTGGTCAAATTGAACACAAATTTTTGGGAACTTATTGTCTGTGAGGATGCCTAATTAAGTTGCTTATATATATATATAGCAACTTCGACGTTCTTATTTGATCTCGCCGGGGAATCCTGCCAAATGCCAAGTTGCCAACTGCCAACCCTGCCGATCGGTAATCGCCGGACTATAATATTTTATTAGGCAGTTCAATACGACTGAATAAAATTTCTTTGATATAAACGACTAGAAACTAAGGACAAATACAATTTGATGTAAGCTTTTGTGTCTTATTACAAATCACCAAAAAATAGTTCGTATACTTAAAAATAAAAACTCCGTGATTCAAATTCTATTACCAAGTACAAACTACTAGTCACATACTTCAATAATTTCATGATAATTCTTAGAACAACCACGAGAAACAATAAATTTACTAATTACTAATCGTTAAGCAAATGCATAATTAGAAGTAGGGGTGGGCAACGATTCGGTTCACATCGGATCGAACTGTTTATCTTTCGATTCGACTTTGGTTCTGAATTTGGTTAATTTTTTGTTTTGGTTCGGTCCAGACCGAAACTGTAAAATCAAGCTAAGGATCGGACCGAATCGTAATTAATTGAATTGCCTATTATATTATGCTCCGAGAAGGCAAGTCGACTTGGAGTTGAAAAGTTAAACCCCTAGTACCCTACACAACACTTAACTACCTATAAACATGATTGTCTTTCCCTAACTTAGACTCACCGCTCCCGCTCTTATAGTCTTACCCTCAAATCAGGGTTCTCATCGGCATTGCTTCGATCAAGAGAGCTGCTTACTTGCACTAGTTCTTGGAGTAAGTGTCACTTTGTTACACTCCTTTCTAATGCCTTGCATCATGTGCTTATACTGCAGAAAAAAGGCTTTCTAATAGACAAGTGGAAATTCTGGAGAATGGGCCGTCCAACGTGCACTGGAAATGAAAATGGAAAATTAGAGAGGCAATTAGTTAGACTACCTTTGAGATTGAATAAAAAGACTTTTGTCTTGTAGTTTAAACAGTAGTTCACGTTTAGCTTTTTGCATAATATTTTGGAACATGTGGTTTTTTAAGAATTGTGGAGTATTTCAATTTGTATAATTTGATTACTTTTTTTTGTGTAGTTACATTTTTTAAATTCTTGTGTTGTCCTTTACGTGTGATTTTATTCGAATGAAAGATTAGTTGGTCCAATGGGATGGTACAGACCGAATAGAGTCATATATGGTTTGATCCAGATCGAATCGAAGTAATAACGATTCGACTTTGGTCCTTGATTTAGAAGAAATTTTTGGTCCGACCCGAGGATAATTTGGTCCGGTCTTGGACTGAATCGACCCGATGCCCATCCCTAATTAGAATACTTTCTAGTTGAGCCCTCCCTTTTAGAGATATCAATGGGTCAGATTTCTCTAACCCCAAATCCAAACCAATGGATGCACCCATTAAAAAATTCCAGAAAATACTCATTGAGTTTTAAAAGTGAAAACTCAACCCAACCAAACAGATACTCATGGTGCCCATGGTTACGGTTCACGAATATAATCATACATTATTTCTTTGAACATTCATATAATAATATATATTTATCAGAATTTTTCCTACAAATATATCTTCATAAAGACTAATAACATCAAAAAGTATTCATATTATTAGGTTTATGTTGCCATAAAGATTAATAGCATTAATAACTATTCATATTATTATGTATTTCTGGTAGATACAAAATGATGTCGTTTTGCTTTGTGGGAGCTGGTCAAGTGGAAAGTGAATTGGGTTTTGGAAACCCCAAACCTAACTTGTCAATTTAAAAAACGAGAAAAACTCGCACCCTGCCAAAACTCATCAACACTGAATTTTACCCTCTTTAACCAGATTGGGTCGGATTGGATACTCATAAGTTCGGGTTCAGTTGTCATCCATACTCCCTCTCATCTCTCTTTGTTGCCCCTTTTGGCCCACCCCTCTCATCCTTCTTCCTTCACAAGGTACCCCTTTTCCCCTAATTCTAATTCCCCAATACCTATTAAATTCCTAATCTCATAACCCTAGGTAGATGCCTCTAGATCCATATTTCTCACCTATTTTCTCATGTAGGGGAGTCACAAACAGACGTCAATCGTGTTTGTTGTTCTCTAAATCGTTAAAAATACATTGGGATTTACTTACATGCAGGACAAAAAAGCAGTAGCTAACATTATATGAACCTAACCAAACACAGTTTGTGGAATAGAGTTTGCATCCCTAATTTGTTGTCTTAAATTTCGTCGTGAATCATGTTGATTGCACAAGTTGAACCACAGTTTTCTTTTTGTGTTGATTCTGATTTCTAGTACTGGTTGATAAAAAAAACAATGATTGATAATTTGGGTTTTCATACGAGAAACAAAAACATATCAGATCAAATCACACAAGGGCAAAGCCAACAAAAACATTACTTTCGACCGAAGGTCGAGCCCAAAGCTAGTAATTGAGTACTTATATTAGCTTTATAGTTAGCAAATTAAACTACATCAACAGTCCCAGCAGCAAACCTCCCCTCCAAACCATCTCCACAATCACAACCATGAATACAAAACTAATCATTTGGTGTATTTTCAACTTGACACCATGATTGGTGTTAGGGTTAGTTGACTTCTGAGGATCCCCAACAAGACAAGATGAAGCATTGAGATTAGGGTTTGTGAGTGATCCATCTTCCATGATCCCCTTGGCAATCAGTCTGTAAGTTGCTTCGGTGAAATGAATCCCATCCCAGTTCACGTACGTCGAAGGCTCATCACAACAGGTAGCCGATTGAGTCATCCCACTGCAACATGGCTCCAGAACTCCACCAGTAAACCCTGTGGACAACAATGGCTACACGTTAGCGTATCTAATTTATCCCACAATCAAACATATATGCGAACTACTTCATAGTAAATACCTACCGAACTTCTTCGGGGAAAGATAGACGGGCATGAGAGCGTTGTAGTAGTCGACGTAGATGATATTGACGTGAGGATAGAGTCGTCTCGTATCATTTAGTTCCATCTGAAGTTGTTCATTGTGGAGTTGCGCAAACTGATTGTACTGGGCGAGGCAGCCGGTGGAAGGATCGTAATCTCGTGGATTCGAGCTCCGGAAACGAGATAAAATGCGAGGCACGCACCCGACGGGAAAATTCCCCGGGACCAGGATGTTGGTTGCACCGAATTTTATTACTTCCTACATTAATTTTTGAATAACTTCATTAACAAATTGCAACAGATCACTAGACAGAAACCAGTAAATGTTGTCAGGAGGAAACTGGTAGGAAAGAATCGATTGAAGGCGTGATTAGATCACTCTCCTTAGAGTGTTATTTGCCCCCCACTACAAATTGCTGGTAGGCTCGAGCAAACCACCCCCAGGAGTCCCTTCAATTTTAAGTCTGGAAGCAGCAGCAATCTTGCAGACTTCTGTGTTTATGAAATAGAGAAGGAAAACGGGTAGAAGAAGTAATCCCACGTCTCGTTAAAAGAGTTATGGCAGTCATCTATTTATAGTTGTGAAAACTGGAAGTTACCTTCCGAAGAGTCACATCCCTTCACAGAAAAAGGTAGTTTTATGAAAGGACATATCATTTCACACAAAAAAGAGAGTTACCTTTCTGGAAGGACATTTCTTTTCACAATATTCAAACGTTAATTAATTAATATAAATAAATTAATTAAATTTCCAAAAGACTCCATCTTTATAATTTACTTCTCCCATCAATATCGTATTGCAACTCTATTTAAATGTGAAATGTGTAATAGTTTGGAGCGGGCAAACCTTGAGAGCCAAGCCTATGGTATTGATCACCATAGGAACAAGTTCTTGAATTTTATTCAAACTTATTCCCGAGCTGAAAGCGAAATTGTAATCATTTCCCCCAATTTCTCCCAGAAGCACAAGAGAATTGTTCAAGAGAGAGCTGCAGGCTGCATTATTTGCAATAGCACTTTTCATGTCACAAAAGGGAAACAATGAATTTGAATTTTTGGCGGATGGAATATTCCGGCAACAACGGGAAAGAAGAGCAAATGAGCCGGAGAGATTGACTTGCCTGCGCCGCCGCCGGAGGAGTCGCAGAGCGTCGGCAGCAATTTTCGGAACCAATCCAACTGAACTCCCAAGGAAATGTTGTCTAAATAACAGGGGATCCCTCTGTTTTTCAGCAACTCACAGTCGAGCGCCGTCGCGCCGCCCACCGCGAAATTGGCGCCGGTCCGGAAATCGCTCCGGTTCCCACCTCCCAGCGACGGCGGTACCAGTGGAAGCCCCAAGTATTCAGCTGCATTCAGACATTAAAAAAGAGAGAGTTACTAATTAAGAAGCCCGAAATAAAGACCGGTTTTGATAATAGATTCAGGAAAATACCGATGAAATCGATCATCAATCGGCCGTCTCCATTTCGGCCGGTGGAGCGGTGGAAGAAGGTCCGGCCGAAGGGAAGGGTGCAGGGTGGGTCGGCCGGCAAGAGTATGCATTGATTCCCCGTGTCGGCGATGGAGTCGCCGAAGCTGAAGATCGAGGTGAAGCATGCGGCGCCGGCGGCGAGAGTGGGTAACAGGAAGAGCACTACGACGACGGCCGGACCTCGCCGCCGGGGAAAGCCGCCGATCGGGTTAATTGAACCGTTTGGATCCATCGTATAATTTTGTTTGAATGGAACAGGAAATTTTGTATACTTTTCTCCGCAGAAAGGATGTTATATTATATATATATATAGCAGCGCACTACCGCGTGTAAGTATATCATATTTCAAATGATCTGATCGCTGAATATGCTTTACGTCGATAAATACAATCAATTAGGAACAATCTTATGTGACATTTGAGGGAATCCTTCCGGCTATAGATAATTAGGAGGAGTATAGTATTAGTCAACATGATCATGTTTATATTACAATCTTAAATTTTCATAGTTCATACAGGTGGCAGAGTCCCCTGAATACAAGTTTTAATAATAATTTCTTTGATATAAAGACAAGAAAATATGGACAAATATCATTTGACCTAAGCTTTGTCTTATTACCAAATTTGGGTGAGAAAATGTTTGTGCTAGTTCTGTACTGTGATGACAAGTTAATAACTTTTAGCTAAGCTTAGTTATGTGAAAAAAAGATGTAATTGGTCTCTAGCTAGCTAAGGTTTCTGTTCCATGTGACAATATGTATCTAATAATAATGTAGCCATGTAGGTTTCTTTCTTTTCATCTAAATCCAAGTATTCGAGCATGCATGGTTTCAGAAATAGTGTTGAAAATGTTTAAGAACTGTAATTGGTTTCTTAAGAACCATAATTTCCTGATGTTCCGAAATGAAGCTACGGATGTTTAGAAATAATGGATGATTGAACGTTAAAGCCGAGTACATATATAGTATGCACTTCAGTAATATTCGTACTATTAAGGTACAATACATATTGTACCGTCTTAGCATAACTATTGTATCATGTGATATTGGATCATTCAATAATACCAATTATATATATGGTTGAATGTTAATAACAAGTACGTACCCTCAACAATATGACTACTTGTACCACCTTGTACTACGAAGATACAATACATGTACAACCCTTATTTAAGGACTAGTTTTTAATAATTAAGACCAATTTTAAAAATTGGAGTTGTCAATGTTTAAGTAATGGATGGTTGAATGTTAAAAATCAAGTATCATCCTCGAAATATGACTATCTGTACCACTTGTATTACAAAGATATAATACATGTACAAATACAACCCCTTGTTCCACGTACTATAGCACAGTTTCAGTATCCGAACTCGCTAATTAATTACCAATAATTCCTCTGGAAAAAGGTTCAATTAATAACCTTGTTAAATTTTATAGAAACAGATGCTTCTTGCCAAAAAGATAAAAGCTTCAAAGCACCTGGTCATGTTTGCATCTCTCTTATTCTATATATAAACTTTTATTTACTTTACTGATTCAAAATAAGGGAAGCAAATATAGAAGAAAAAAAAGAATATATTCATTTTGTTACTTTCAATGTCGAAAAAAAAAGCTAGACACCTTCATTAAAATCGAAATGTCTACCTAGCTATATATATCATCACCTAAAAAGGTGTTGCACTGCTTAATTATTAAAAAAATGATCTCCTGCAACAATGTTTATAAAAAGTACTTTAAAGAATACCTAACTAAACTAAGATTTTCGATGTATCATTTTTAATTTATATAACTAAAATATTAAGTTATTAATAAAGAAATTCACCGTGCAATCTAAAGCCTCGAGAGAATACTAAATATAATTAAATTATATAACTCTCAAGTCTCCCAATAGAAACGAACTCTCATATAGTTTTTCATATATTTTACCTCCTATAACCTATCTTATTCTTATAGAACACTCATAGAGATATAACAGAAGAGAATAAGTAACTGTTAGACGTGAATAACCTTTGTCTTCGAAGCCTAGTTTTCTTGTAGAATTCCATCATTGTTCTCATCACTGGTCATGATTACTACACTAGATAGGAGAGATGAATAGTTGAATTATTTCTATTGTTTTGTAGCCTGGTGGAGAATCCAAAGGTCAATAGGACAAATGATGTTTAGTGAATCATTTCTTGGAAAAATATGGGTTAATTGCAAGAATGGTCACTGGGTTTATTAAAACGGTTTATGTTTGGTCACTGCAAATATTTAATTTCATTTATGGTCACTAAGATTAGTTCAATAGTTCAAGTTTAGTCACTCTCCATTAGTCTTTGTTAGTTTTTGTTGATGTGGCAGTCCACTATTATAGTTGACCGTTAAATGAGTGACGTGGCCATTAAAAAAATAAAAAAAATTAAATATTTACAATTTACACCTCATTTTACAACTATTAAAAAAAAACTTACCACCGTCGCCGCTGCGCTCATGACCAAATCCCTCGCCGTCGATGCGCTCTCCGACCGGGTCAAGATCTCGCTGCCTCTTCCTTCTCCGGTAGCGTCTTCCCGCTTCAGCTCTAAAATTGGTCCGACCGGGTAGACCGGTAAACCGCCGCAAAGCTCAAGCTCCTCACTCTTCAAGTTGCACGAAACAGCCTAACAGGCATCGAAATTGCCATATGCCAAGTACACAATCTCTGGCTTCGATGGGTGGATACCCAATATCCCCTTTACCTCCAAACCATTCATCAACCCTCTTCTACTCTTCTTCTTTGGAAATTCGAATCACGCCCAAATCGATTTCAACCACACTCGATTCTCCAGCTGCCAAGCCTTACTATCGTCTAGGCTCCAGACGCTCAATCCATCGATGGAAAATCATTCTCCGTGGCGTCTTCCAGCACAATCAGATGCAGAGCACCCTGTGAGACCCCAATGTCGAGTAGACTGACCAATTGGGGGGAACGCGAATAGAATTCGGAGTAGTAATCTATGGTTTCCGGTTCTCCATTGATGTCAAAGGATCGTAACCTACCAATTCACGCGAATCCTAGCACTTCCAGTATAGTTTCCCGTTGAAGCAGGGCAGAGTAATGTGGTAGCCAGGGGTTACATAATGTTCATACCCAACTTCGAAATTGTCGACCCGGTCCACCCACGGCCCAATTCGGAGCAGAACACTTCACACCGGTAATCGCCTCCGGTTTTGTACAAGAGGACGACCCTGAATTTGAATTGGGAGTCGATCAAGACCTGGTCTTTGAAATCGCATAGCTGTAGCAGGGCTGGCAGACGAAACCCACCATGATTCTGTTGCTGGGGAGAAATTCGGTTCTACCGGTGTAGGGGGCCAGCGGGAGGATGACCCATTGGTTCGTGGAAGGGTTGCCGACGTAGAACCAGTTCCCTACGGTGTCGTTTGTGGTCAGCCCGCAGAGGATTAGGTCGTCGGAGGTTGTTGGCTCACAAGAAACTCTCATTCGAGAGATTCAATGAGCGGCATCACTCCCAGGTTGTACTCCTCAAACTGCAAGGTTTCTATCAGCATAGAACTCTACAAACCTATGGTATCTTGGGACAATTGGTTTGTGGTTCAGGTAACCAGGAATGCTGTGAACCAAACCAACAATTCATTTTTTCTTGGTGAGAAAAGCTTTTGTTCTTTGAGAAGTTTGTGGTGATAGCAAAATGTTCGAGAGATGGCGAGAAGGAGACGATAGCAGGAGGGGTTTATATAGAATGAAGTTATTAGTAAAGAACATTAAGAATAAGATTTTCGATATATCTTGTTCAATATATATATATATATATATATATATATATGGTGACGTCTTCGGTGCACTCACTTTTTTGGGTGCACTGAACGCACCCACTTTTTTATTTAATCTCAACCGTTGAACACATCTAACGGTTACAATAATTTGATTTATTTATATGTAATTATTAATTAATCAGCTATATTATATTTATTAAAACAATTTATACTTAATGACAATTGCAATCAAGTCCCTCACGTCACTTAACCCCCTGTTGGCCGTTTGTTTTCCCCTCTGGCACCGTCAATAGTTTCCCGGTGGCAGGCGACGATTAGTTTCCCGTGCCGGGCAACTGCCATCGTCGTCCTCCGCCACTAACCCATCTCAGGCGATTCCGGCATGCTCGACATGGAATAGGAGAAAAAACTTTTCGTTCTTGATTTGTTCCATGAAATATTCACTTTCTCTTCCATTGTTCGAGTGTCTTTCTTTTTCGATTCCGCTGCTTTCTTGGTCGATTCGTTCGAGTTCTGGACGAATTCGCATTTGTTTTCCTTCGATTCGACCGTTTCCTTGACGAATTCGTGTTTCCTTCTCCAATTTCTTCAATCGGCGCTTCAGCACTCAGTTGTGGTGCGATGGCTCATCTTTTCTTCGAGCTCCGCTTCTCTCGTCTCTGCTCCCGTCGATGCGAACCAGGAGTATTTCTTCGCCAATACCCGTCGCTTGCATCGTCTTCGCCCTTCAGATAACAGCTCCGTCAGGTCCAGATCCTCGCGTCGCTCGGTGATTCTTCTCGGTTATATCCAGCTCATCCAGTCGATCCAGTCCATGTCTTCAATTGCTCCGGCCGAAGAGTTGCTGAGTTGCTGTGCCTCTGGGTTTCGCGAACACAGGTCCTATCGCCGGCGACGATTGATTGCACAGGGACTACAGAGCGATTTTCGGAAGTCGGGAGCATGGCCGATAGATCAGGGACAGAGCCAGTCTTGAGTAGTCAAATGATCTGTGTTTTTTGTTTCCCTTTTGCCGCGACGGAGACGCAGGGGAAGGCTTCAGCTCAATAACTGGAAATCGTAGGGGGAAACTGATTTTTTTAGTGCTTGATTCAGACTGGAGCGATACTGAGTTGTCAATTTTACTGATTGTACCAAATTAAATCAAACATCGCTGGACCCCTATGCTGCGGGTAAAAGAACAAAACCAGAAGGAGGTTGCAGAAGGAAGGGCTGTTTTCGATCCGAATTCCTAACACATTCGGATGAGCTCTCAAATTATGTTTATGGGCTCAACGAACTTGCTTACTTACCCAGTTATCGGCTGACATAAGGCCGCTAGTTTAAGGCCCAAGTTTCACGTTCTGAGGGCCCAGAATAAAGTATTTGCAGGGTAATCGAATCTCTTGCTCACTTGTAAAATGTAAGTGAAGCCCGCACATATAAAGGCCCGAGTTTCACCAAATATAATGTGTGCAGTTGGGTTTCTTTTTGTATGTTAAGCCCGCACGTATAAAGGCCCGAGTTTCGTCAAAAAGAATGTATGTATGAAAATTAGAACCCACCTCGCCAGGTTCGTACCACGATTGTTAATTAATTCGTTAACATAGCCAGGGATTTAAACCACTAGAATAGTAGCCCACCACTTGTGCCAGTGACCTGTTTTGATTTTAATAATATCGAGCGAAATCAGCAAAAAAAATGTGTTTGTACGTAGACCTGAACCTCGTAACAAGATCAACCATCACCCAGGTAAGCAACTTAAACCAGTACCAGTAGTTGGCCGCTTGCCACCAGTAAAAATAACAATCTCTTATGATATTAGATTTAAAATTTAATTCGTAAAATTAGTTGAATGTGGTATGAATCATTCGGTTCTGAAATTTGGAAACGATTATCCAACCTTGGGTAATAGATTGCGTGAAGGTAAAAAAAATATGTAAGTGGTAGCATATGTAATTCAAATTTATGTATGTTGTCAACGACACATAATTTTCATAAGACTACAAGTAATTTGTTGTACAATTTTAAAATTATCATTTATGGTACTGAAATAGTATGTACGATGGAGTCCATAATTATCATGTTAGCGAGGCACAAAATCGGAAAAAGTAATCCCAATGTAAGCTATTTTGTATGAAAGAGCGTAACACGATAAGACCAAAAATCGATAGGTATTTTTGGGATAGATTCGATAGTATACCGGTAATCAACCAACCCGAAATCAGTCATACGTTTAAAAACACAAACCATGTTTCTTCATGTTTTCTCACATCACATTCTCGAGCTTACTCGACTAACTTGTTTAGTATTTAGTAAAGGAGGTCCAAATGGATCGTCCCTCATATTTAACATCAAAGATCTGACAAAACCTCCTCCATTTCACCCTTAAACTTCTCTCGACAATTAACGTTGGATTGTTCTTCGTGAAACATGGAATGAAAGTAGACCACAAGTAATCAAGCTAATTTAACTCATATGAAGATCAAGTGATAGATTTTGAGTATGAAACAATGAGTACATCATTCAGGCCAAGAATGACGGTGACCAAGTAGGTCATCCATTGACGGGTTCATTCCGCGTTTCCTAAAGCGGCAGCGTTGATACCCGGGTTGGATCCAATCCTTAAGCCTCATTGCTTAAGGAGGTTCTTAAACTATTTTTATTGGTTGATATTAGATTAGGTAGTTAATGATGGTTAGTAGTTAATATTTAGTTTGAATAAATAAGATATTATAAAAATATAATTAATATTACTCATTAATGATTATCTTTCTCTCTCTCCCTTATTTCTCCATAACCCTCTCTCTCCACTACAATGAAAAGGAAATTCGGAATTAATTTAATTAAATATTATTATTTCATATTTAATAAATTCGAACTTAATACCTATTAACTACTAACACCCTTTAACTACCTAATCCACCATCAACCAATAGGAAGGTTTTAAGATTCTCCTTAAAAAATGAGACTTAAGGACTTGAACTCAAGCCGTTGATACCAGAGCTGACCAAGTGCCCATCCCACATTTTCTATGTTCAACACAATCCATCCTTGTATGAGTGGAGTCATTAAGTTGCATGTTTCGATCCTCTTCCCCATTACTCATAAAAGAGGAACCCTCAATTCAAGTACAAAAAGACTATCATTACCACATGCACAATACTGCTTCATTCGCTAAATGTCATTGCCTGATACTAGCATTTTTCCAACATCGGTCATGGTGCACGCTTCCAACATGGTTTAGTGAGTTGTTATCAATTTGGGTGGACATAACAGTAAAGACGTCACAGCGAAAGCGACCTCTATTGTCACTAAATCTCGTCGTTGGTACTTGGATAATCTCCAAACTCTTGGTTTAGATAAGTTGTAACTACAATGCAAACTTTTTTATTTCGAGCATGGGTGTCCTATAAAGGAGGTTAGTTAGATTTGTATTACATTTGAGGCAATGAATGCTATAGAAAGAGAGACATCATTGGATAGATTATGAGGTTTAGCCACTCGAGTTGAACCAATGTATCTTTCGGTGGACATTCACACACACTTGTCATGATTGTCCACACATGTGATGGTGCACATACAACTTGATGTACGATTTAGATGGTTAATCAAATTGGTCCATACAATTTGTAAAAGATGGCGTAATTACAAAACTAATGTGCTACCAATTAATCAAGAATTTGGCGCACCAGTCCAATTTTAAAAATGTGTATAGTAAATTTTCACGACCCGTCAACAAATTTAGGCGGGTTATCTGTATATGGTAATGAAAGTATTAGACAAAAAAAAAAGATAATGAAAATATTGGAGGGAAAAAAGTGAAAAACTCCCTCCACATTTTCGTGTTTACCCAAAAGCCAAAGATGGAAAATTCCCCCTCCACTTCCAGTAAAAAAAAAAAAAAAAAAAAATCCCCCTCCACAACCGAGCTTCATCCCTGTGCGAGATGAAAAATTGGGAAAAATGACAAGGGAGCACGGGCTCTCCTTCATTCCTCTGCTTCCAATGCGCCCTCCCGCATTAATCGACGACCGCCCGCTGCCGATTTCTTTAGTGGTTCGCCCTGCCTGCCAACCTCAGCGGTCGCAACCCCTTTCTCTCCATGCTCTCTCGGCCGCGCCAACCAGCCGCACCGCCGCCTGTTAGTTTGGTGGCTCGTCCCGCAGGCAATCATCAGCAGTCACCGCCAGGAGCCATTGCCACCAAGTCCCTCCTCCTGTCGTCGAAGAGCAGCCTCTCCCTTTCCCAGGTATGAAGTCAAGAATGTAGTCCATTTGGGAAGAAAATCGCACAAATTAAGGTGTGTTGAATTTAGGGAATTTTCCCAATTCTGAATCTAGGGTAAAACTTGAAGAGTGCTTGTCGATTTGTTGGTGCTAAAGCAGGATCGGCAATCCAAATCTGACGAATTAGGTTACCTAAGGCTGGAGTATCAGGGGTGCATGGCATTTAGCCCATCCTGTCACCGTGAGAGGGAGTCAAGTACTGGAAAGACGACTTGGAGTTCTCAAGGTTGGAGAAGGCACTTACCTGGGAAATGTTCTAATCGGAGCTGATCTCAACCTGGTTCTTGTTCTCTTACCCGTATCTGGTGTTAAAGAACCTTGCTGGCCCCAACGTAGTGTCTTACAACAGTCTGATTTCAGGTTTCTGCTTCCATCTATCTCATTTATTTGTCATTTTTGGCTTCAATCAGTCATCTTGTTTCGAAGTGTTCTGTGATTCGATGAATTTGTGCATCATGGTGTGAATCAGTAGTTGAATGCAAGAGTGTCACTTTAGGGATTTTTCTTGAATTGGGGAGTTCTTGGGAAGTCCTGAACTAGTCGGTGGAGAATGCTTTTTGTTGCCAGTTGATCTAAAGTCTGGGGACTGCGTCAACAGTTATCCTTTGATTCTCGTTCTCAGTTCCAGCATTGAGCTAGTGAAAATGGATGGCAGCTGCAGTTCCCTTTCAGTTTAGTTATTTTTGTTTGAAGAATTCGAGCTTTCATTGGCGAGAAGGTAGAATTTTTATTGATAACTTGAAGGATGGATATTTACAGTAGGAAATGCAACACGAGAATGGTTTGGACTAGTTTGCAATGTAAATTACCTTCCGATCTCCAGTCTGCCTATAATTCCCTTCCCTTTTATTGATCTTTTGGTTTTGCTATTCCATGGTCGATTCAGTTTGATGTTTTGCTAAGTTGTGTGGCATGGAAGTTTCTCAGTAATTCTTCACGTCTACTCATTAAAGAAAGCCTTTTTTTTCGTTTTAAGTTCTTTGGTTTTCTTGTGAACAGGATATGGACCAGCTGGATATGCTTTGTTTGTGGCAGTATATGCAGCATTGGAGGTATGTGCTCATTCTCTTATTTAGGCCTTAATTCAATTCAGTTTCATGCATCTAGTGAGATCTATGAGAAGTTCTTCGTGGTCTTAATACTAGTAACTACTGATGTGATAGATGCACGATACATGTGATGATTTGGACACCAAATTTAGCATATAGCTATAATTCCATGTAGACATTTTGTGAAGTTCTGCATACTGAGATCAAGTTCTTGTGGTAGATGAATGCAGCTGACTTGTTGGTTCTCATTTCTCTTGTCTTATTTGTACGAGTGTCAGCTATCCTTATCTATGGTGTTGTGATTGTGTTAATTTTACTGTTTCTTAAGGTACGAAATATGAAGCGAAATATTGGTCTATTTTCCGGGTTCATTTGGACCGGTAATGAGGTGTGTATGTATTGAGTTATACATTTAACTTAAATTTTGGGATAGAATTCTCTTTATGCGAAGGCTTAGTCTTAAGCTTGAAATTGATTGTGGTTTATGATTTCTTGTTCTCACAATAGGAAAAACAGAAGTCAAAAGTTAAGGAGAAGCTTGACAAGTGCGTAAAGGAAAAGCTTATAGATTTTTGTGATGTGCTCAATATTCAAGTAACTAAAGCCACAGTGATAAAGGTCAGTTGTGATTGGTAATGTTATTGCTTTCTTTTGGGTACCTATAAATTCGTTGGTTGTCTGGAAATGTTTTCAGGTAGAACTCACTGTAAGAATCAAGGACTTCTTGGAATCCCCATATGCTACAACTGATGTTTTGCTCGCTGATTAACTACGAAATTTTCAAGAATTTGCGAGCTAGAGTACATATTACATAATTCAAAGTAGGCATATCTATGCTTTGATGCTTCTGCTTTCAGTTCCAGAATTTAGAGCCACACGTACGGGATAGTTCCATTTGATTGCATTACCTGAAATGACAGCAGAAATAAATAAATTTGAGTTAAACTAATGAACTGATACCGAAAAGAGTACAAATGAACTGTCCATTGGAGATTAAAATTGGCATAGTCTTGCTGACAGTAGTAGTACCTCTACGAGTACGAGATCTAATGACATGAGTAAAAAGGAAAGACCAAGGTTGTAGTATATATCCAGTTCCTTAATCCACAAGAAAACACTATAAACTCATGGTATGCTAAACAAGCTACAATTAACAGTACCTGTCTGTCTATCCACACTGGCAATAGGAGGTATTCCAGAACTAGTTCCAACACCCGGAGCCTACGCAAAACAAAAACCATTTTAAACTGCCGTCCTGCTAAGGACTAACATTAACATAAAATGAAATGCTACAACTAAGACTTACAAGGCCACGAGCAGCAGGAGGACTAACATAAAATTATAGTGCATACTTACTTCAAGAATCGTCGTTGTCATCGTCATCCTCTTCCTCTTCATCATCGTCCCCATCCTCGTCGTCATCTTGAGAGTCATCCTCCTCCTCCTCCTCTTCCTCTTCCTCGTCGTCCTCGTCTTCCTCGACCTCGTTATCAAGCTCGTCCTCTTCCTCAACCTTTGCTGTGCTCTTGTTTCTAACTTGCTCACTCGAACTGTTCGTCGAATTTTTTGGAGGATTTTTACAAGTTGAGGCATAATGACCAAAACCACCACAATGGCCACATTGTCTCGATTTGACGACCTTCCCCTTCTTGTTCTTAGTCAGCCGACCACCTTTAAATCGTGTCTGTACCGGATCTTTAACATCTTTATAACGTTCAGATGCATCACCGTGATCATCTTCAGCAGGCTCTGAGGAAGCACCTTTACTAAGAGTACTCATTCCCTTCAATTTCGCACACAATGCTGAAATCTCTGCCCGAGCAACTTTGAACATACTTGGAGATTCGGCAGCTAAGGATGTCAATTGTAAGTTGTGGTACTGTATAATGCCAGATCTCCATATGCGTTCTTCTTCCTCTGATGGAGTGTCATTTCTTTGAAGTTTTTCCATAGTACCTTTTGGGTCTTTTCTCCACCTCGGCAAAACCAACTCCGAAGGCAACTCTTTCACTCGCTGCTCCCGTAATACAGAAATCATGTGTGCGCAGAGCATACCGGTACTACGAAACTTGTAACAACTGCACTCCATTTCTGATGTGGTTGGTTGATATGTAACTTCTATGACAACCTCGGAGTCTTCATACATTGTCATCTCATAGACACGGTGAGAAGATCTTTCAAAAGATCTGGTCATAATGCATCCATTAGATGCTTCGAGCTGCTCCCGAAATGTAAAAAATGCCTCCCTTGAGTAAACACTAGCACCACTTATTTCGAGAGATCTCAAACCTGTGTTTCTTAGCTCAGGAGTTCCATAGTTGGACTTGAAGTCTGCTTTAACCTCATTCTCTCTGAAATGCCGCAATGCACGATCAAAATCATTCACAAACTCCAGGAGATTATGCTGACAACTAACGTACTTCTTAATGAATGAATTGACCCCTTCACAACGAGATGTCGTCCGGACGTTAGCAAAAAACTTATCTCTTAAGTATGCAGTTGCCCACTCTCGCCGTTTCTCATAAGTGTTTCCAATCCAGCTATTGTCCTCAACTGAAAACTTGGTGATCATTGACCTCCACCTCTCTTCAAACTCCTCAATCCCACAATCAGCAAACATGCAATTCTTGAACGAGAAAAGAAACTTCTTATCCTTCACATGGTCCTTTGCATTACCAAACAGATGCCATGAGCACAAACGATGGGTTGCATCAGGAAAAACCTTACTAACAGCATTCGCCATTGCTTTATCTCCATCTGTGACAACGGCATTAGGCTTCTTACCCATTGCTTCCACAAAGGCTTCTAACACCCAATCATAAGATTCTTCAGTTTCATTGTTCATGAGTGCACATGCAAACACACACGTGTTGTTGTGATGATTTACACCTACAAACGAAAAATGCAATGTCAAATTAAAGTTAGCACAATAATTTTAGTCACGAATTAATTAGATTACCGAACTTTTTACAATATTGACCAAACATATGTAGATTGAAATTAAAGCATCACAATAATTCAAAAAACAAAGAAACTTGTAATTCCAATAATATACCTGAGAAGATCACTAGAGGCATATTGTACGCATTTTTCTTGTATGTAGTGTCAAACGATAACACATCACCGAAGCATCCAAAGTCTAGCCTGCTTATGCTATCCGCCCAAAATAACTTCTCCAGTCTCGAATCATCACCAACTTTGAACTTCATAAAAAAACCATTGTCATTGTAGCTTTTACAACTCAAGTAACTCAGTGCAGCTGTAGCATCACCGTTGCTGATGTTTTCTTTTCGGCACCTATCGACATAGTTATATACGTCTTGCCTCGTATACCCCACATTAGCATACCCACCAGCTGCATTGGACACAACATTCATGATTTGACAGGGCCTCAAACCGCCAGATTTCAAACTTGAGACAAGTGCTGCATCTGCTTTACTCAACTCACGGTGTGATCTAAGGTGATGAACTTGATGGTAGGGAGCTAATTGATGATTATGCTCATTTCTAAACCGAGTAACATGCCATCTCATGTCCTTCTTCTTCTTCAAAGTGATAAGCATATAAGCTTCACAACCAAACCTCGTTACTACCCTTGGTTCTATTTTTCTGTCTGTAGTTTTCTTTAGTCTGAAACCTGCACCAGAACAAACCCACTTGCGCGACACGATTTCTTTCTTTGTATCATACCGAGTATTACTCTTTCTAATTCCAAACCCAATTGCTCTGGAAAATCTCCTATAGAAAGCTTCACCATCCTGCAAACTACCAAAAGTCGTTTTATAGACATCAGTAGCCTTCAACTTCGATAAATTTTCCCATTCTTCTTCCTCAACATGAATAGATTGTTCGGAGTCTTCTTCCCCATTCTCATTTGTCACAGATTGTGCTATTTCTTCTTCCTCCTCATTCTCACGTGCTGGTTCAACCTCAACTTCTTTTTCCCTTACAGTAAAGGTCCCCTCCATGTTTGACCCTACCCTAACTTCGTTGCTGTAAAAATTAAATAAAAATGACTGTTAAAGTAAAATACTCCGTTTGTAGTATTAAATCAAAAGTATGGATGACTAACCTGTCACTTGTTGGTGTATTATTGCTGGTGGGATCCATCTTCCACCTTCAACTTGCGTACCTGCAGAGCTAATTTGTTTCAATTTATTTGATAAAGACAAGGTACAGTAAACAACAAAACTATATATTCTTCTACTTAAGAGAACCCAAAACAAGACCAGTACATTACATTACATAACTAACCCTTCAGCCAAAGCACAAATCACTCAACAAAATAACTAAAAAAGCTGCGTCGATTACCTCTACGGATTTTAGGTTCTGGATACGTGAGGAAGCAACAAGGCTGAACTGAATTGGAATGGCAGGGGAGGCTCCACCGCAACTCACCAAATCTTACTGCTATCCTGTTTCCGGCGAAGCTCGCAGGGGAATCACTCGACAGCCGGCGATCTTTAGTTGACTCTCTGTATCCACCGCAACTCAGCAAATCTGTCGTTCCCCAGAATTAATCAATCAGCGCAAGTCTCGTATGGGTGTAGAGGGGGTTGGTCGGTGTGTTACGTCCAGGAGATATCCTTGAAGCCGGGTGGAGACTGAAGCGCCGATTGCACTGGACTAAGGAAACACGATTGCGTCGACGAAACGATCGAATCGAAGGGATACAAAGGCGATTGTCGAGAAATCGAACTAATCGACCAACAAAGCAGCCGAATCGAAAAAGAAAGTAGTGATGCAGGAAGAGGAAAGGATCCAGAAGACTCGAACAATTGAAGAGAAAGTGAGGATTTCTGGGAACGAATCAAGAACAGAAATCTGTCTTCTCCTATTCCAAACGGAATCGCCTGAGATGGGTTAGTGGCGGAGGACGACGATGGCAGTTGCCCGGCACGGGAAACTAATCGTCGCCTGCCACCGGGAAACTATTGACGGTGCCAGAGGGGAAAACAAACGGCCAACAGGAGGGTTAAGTGACGTGAGGGACTTGATTGCAATTGTCATTAATTATAAATTGTTTTAATAAATATAATATAGTTGATTAGTTAATAATGAATTATAAATAAATCAAATTATTGTAACCGTTAGATGTGTTCAACGGTTGAGATTAAATAAAAAAGTGGGTGCGTTCAGTGCACCCAAAAAAGTGGGTGCACCGAAGTAGCCACCATATATATATATATATATATATATATATTAAGTTATTAATAAAGAAATTCATCATGCAATCCAAAGCCTAAAAAAAATTATTAAGTTATACTATAAGTTATATAACTCTCAAATCTCTAAAGAGAAACAAACTCTCTTATAGTTATCCATATACTTATCTCCTATAACAATGATAGAACACTCACATAGATTTTTTTATTTATTTAAGTGACATTGATTTATTAATTAGAACTTAAAAATTACAAATTACAAGACAAAAGCACAACAGCCTACAAACAAGCGATTTCAACGAAGCTGCAAACACTCTCTAACCTTTAAACTTTGAGAAGGCAGACACACTTGTATTCCAGTGATTTTTAACTCATCAAAATCAATGGCTTGATAAGCCTCCTTCATCTTCTACACATATACAAAATTAAGCCTCAAAACAAGTGTCCTCGAACATATATAAAAGCCATCTATTCTACCCAAAAAAAATGAAAAGTTTCATTTGTCTTTGTCATTGTATGTTAAAAATCTTCTCAAATGTTTTTATATTTAGTTGTTTTTTAATTAGTCATATTTGTAATTTTGTAGGAAGATAATCAGTATCCTCCATTATAATATGGCAGTACCTCGTGAGATTTTCTCCATTTTGAATTCTCTGCATTTTCCTTGATCGTAGCTAGGGTTATAATAGTAAATGTCATCTTACATTTTGATAAGTAAAAATGCAAGATGATATTATTAGATGATTTTATTATGATTTTGTAAATATACCTTTATATTTTGTCACCTAAATAATTCAAACACTAAATCATTTAGGAGAATGGATTATTATGAGATTATTTGGTTGGTTCATGGTTGTATCATCTTCGACGACGCGGGACGAGCTTTTTCATAGCCTTTTTGAGAGGATAGAGACTAGTATTGTGGGAGTGTTGAGTGATCACCCCGTTCACCTGTTCAATAATTACAACAAATTCTAAGGAAGATACAACGAGTAAATTACAACATAAACAAAAACAAAAACAAACAAAATGAACGGTGAAGTAATTATCCAGAGGAGCTCATTCCTCCAACAACCACCAGAAACAACAGATTTACCAGAACCATTGCTGCAGCAGGTTGCACAATCAACCCGACGCCGCGATTGGGGAGCGAATCCCGATCGGGAAAAGTCGAATTCCGCCCATTCGCAGCAGTAACACCACGAACACAAGACGACGACGACGATGAGAGATTGAAAGCAGGGCTGGTAAACAAACCTTCCTCCACCACCGCCTTTGCAATCAGCCTGTAAGTCGCTTCAGTGAAGTGAATCCCATCCCAATTGACATACGTCGAAGGTTCGTCACACGGCCTCATCGACGGACCGCCGCCAAGGATCGATCCACCCCCGCCTCCTCCTCCTCCTTCGCAGCACGCCTTCAGAACTCCCCCCGTGAACCCTGGAAATTTTTTGTGTAAATTGAATGAATGAATGAACTAATTGGCTGCGATCGCGAATTCGATCGCGTACCGAAACGTTTCGGGGACGCGTAGATGCGCATCATCGCGTTGTAGTAGTCGACGTAGATGATGTTGGCGTGCGGGTAGGGATGGCAATCAAACCCATGGCCGTGGGTACCCGACCGCCCCATACCCAGTCAACGCGGGGAATCCCCGCTTTGACCGGGTATGGGGCGGGTATGGGTAAAACCCGCAAAAGGTTTGATGGGTATGGGGCGGGTATGGTTTTAGTCTCCCCCGCCCCATACCCATACCCATACCCGCCCCACCAAGAGAATTTCTTCACATATCAAAAAATACGTGGATTAAATTGTAATCTATCAATGATGATGATGATAACTCGAGAAAATAAATAGTAGAAATGCAATTGAGTAACCAACTTAATCAAAACCTAATTCATTTCCCTCAGTTCTCCTTCCACTCTTTCACTTTCCCCCTTGTCAATAAAATTATGTTAGTTAATTATTACTTAGTAAATGTATCAAGAGTTAGAGCATAATAATTTAAAAAATATTATAGTCTATATTATGTATTAATGGATGTTTTAGGATCATATTCTTTGAATCGTATTTAGAAAATGACAGTGTTTTGTTGACTTCGTGATATAATAGGTTTGTTTATGGTTATAATTAAAACTTTTCTTGTAAGTTTTAGGTATAATAATGTTGGATGTACGGGGATGGGTATTACCCATGGGTACCCGAAACCCACGGGTATGGGGATGGGTTTGCAAAACATTCCCCCGCATGGGTATGGGGCGAGTATGGGTTTGGGTATTTGAAGATGGGGATGGGGATGGTTTAGGCAAACCCGCCCCAAACCCGCCCCATTGCCATCCCTACGTGCGGGTGGAGTTTCCTGGAGCGGTTGAGCTCGATCTGGAGCTCCGCGAGCTGGTTCAATCGGACGAGACAACCTGTGGAGGAGTCGTAGTCCTGCGGATTGGAGCTCCGGAAGTTGGTGAGGATGTAAGGGATGCATCCGATGGGGAAGTTTCCCGGGACCAGGATTGTGGTCGCGCCTAATTTGATTATTTCCTGCCGGTGGAAAAGCGAACATTAATGGCGAGTTTCGTTACCAGAAAAGAAAAACAGAGTTTCGGAAACAGGAGAAATGGGTGATGTATATGGATTGATTGATTGATTGATTACCTGGAGAGCTGAGCCAATGGAGTTGACGACAAGGGGAACGAGTTCTTGGATTCTTGCGGTGGTCATTTTGAGACCCAGTGCGTAGTTGTAATCGTTTCCCCCAATTTCCCCCAACAGAAAAAGGGAAGTGTTGAAGAGGTTGCTGCACCCTGCAGTGGTTGGGCTGGAAGATTGTTCAAGTCTGTTACGGGCCTAAGGCCCATATGGGTAGTAGCAGCTCAGCAAATTGGGCCCGTATTTGAAAATGTTGGGAGCCAGAGATTGCAATTGAACCCGAACTAATGTAGTATCTATTCAGAATTAACCCGGTCAGAAGTGGGTATAATTGAGTATTGATAGGTTATAGATGGGATGTGAATTTTATTTCGTTTTATAAATTGGCGGGTTGGGTTAGGTTTTGCCAAACCTCAATCCGCTTTTCATACGAGCCATACTCATCAAGAAAAATGACGTCATTCTGTATATAAACGGAACAATATGAATATTTTATGAATGCTAATAGGCTTACAAATTACAATACATCCTAATGATATGGGTAATTTACGGATGTCAGTAATCTTTATAAACACACATTTACAAGGGAATTTTCTATAACTTTAGGATGTGATTCGAATAAATAATGTATGATTATGTTCGTGAACCCATAGATAACTATGCATCTTTGGGTATTTGTTGGGTTGGGTTTGGGTTTAGAGAAACCCGACATGTTGTTATTCCTACGGAAGTACCTCAGTGTCTATACTTAACTCACAACAGGCTGGGGCTCTAAATCTAAGTATTTTGCCTCAGAGTAATGGTTAGTGATTAGGAAATAGGACATGTCAGACTAATATGAATAAATATTTAAAAAAAAATACTGAGTTATTCTATCTTTAAACAATAAATAAAAAATTTCTCAATCAACAAAAGGAGCAACTCATAATAATCTGGCAATCAGTCAACAACCAACCGGCAACCGGTAAACTACCAGCACCTACCAACTACCAATTCCAGCAAAGCTGAGAGAGGGACTTGCCTGAAACGGCGTCGGAGGAGCCACAGAGCGACGGCAACAATTTCTTAAACAACTCCAATTGAACTCCCAACGAAACATTGGTCGCCATATATCCGATCCCTCTGTTCACAAGCACGTCGGAAGCCACCGCCGTCGCCCCCACCACCGCAAAATTCACCCCCTTCCCGAATTCCGTCTGGTTCCCGCCGTAGTACGGTGGCACGAAAGGAAGACCCAAATACTCCGCTGCATGCCATTGAATGATTGGACGAAACTAAGGAGCAAATTGAAATCGAGCGCGCTGTAATAATTGGTTTATACCTATAAAGTCGATGATCAAACGGCCGTCGGAGCTGCGGCCGGTGGGCCGGTGGAAGAAGGTCTCGCCGTAGGGAGGAGAGCACATGGACCCAGCCGGCGTGAGCTTGCAGAAATTCCCGGTGTCGGCGATGGAGTCGCCGAAGCTGATCACTGATTTGAAGCATCCCGCGGTGGAGGCTGGCCTCGGGAACGTTAACAAGACGGCGGAGAGAATTCCGACCAAAAATCGGATTAACGGCAGAGGAGAAGGAGAGCAGCAATTTGGAGGAGCCATTGATTTGGATCGACTAGTACTCTGCAACCATAACCACCTCGATTGGACCCGTATATATGTGCATCTCATTTCATTTTTTTTTTAAATGATCAAGAAATATGTTTTCATTCCAAAATTGCATTGGCCTGAAATCCGCAGACAATGCGGAAAAGTACAAAGGTTTCCACACGATCCTATATAAAGGGTGAGGATTGGCTTGGTGTTGTGCCATCCATTCCATTGAGTGATTAGTAAAGGATCCAAATATGCATGAAATTTGTGTTAAGTTTCCCACTTTTTATCTATCTCTTTTTACCGCATAAAATACGGTATATAGCAGTCTACTGAATCGGTTATGGGTGAAACTTCCGGTGTCTATCCTAATTGTATTGAAGACATTGGTACAAATCAACAAATGGTTTTATGAACCTGTTAGTGTTCACTGTTTAGAGAGAGAAAAAATATATCATCTTAAATGTGGTAACGTTCACACTATTTACGATTGAGAGACCTCGACATATTTTCGACTATTTTATCGGTCGATACTCGATATAGTGATATTTAATGTTTCATACGTTTCATTGGTCGTTGACCTCGATAACCAGACACTATTGCAGACTAAAACGAGCGCATGACGTGTGACTCGTTGTTGGGGTACAACCGTACATTTTATATATATATATATATAGGATACAATCTAGAGCTGAGTTGTGGGCTTATGGGCCTTTTCTTGCTTTCGGCCGGTGGGCCTACGGGGCATTACTTGCTCTTGGACCATCTGAGTTTGGTTCCCTTATAATGGGCCCAACGTATTGGATCAATTTGAAGCGCTATCAAATTGAAGCGCTAGAATCGTGGAAGAAGTCGAATGCAATACAAACCGAAGGACAAATAATTGGAAGAGTATTTAGTCCACCTGCTCACTTCCGTTGACTTCCAATCTCCAAAGAGCTGTGGAAAAGTCAACAATGACGATGTTTTCTGCTGATCGTACAGAATTTCAATGCGTTTATGGAAATCATGGAGCCGCAGAACAAACAATTATTATTCTTCACCATGATCCACTCCACGGCAGCCGCCGTTCTCGCAGTCATTATCACAATCTCTCAACTCCATCCTCTGTCTGCAGCAACAACGAACACGCTCAACCAAGGGGACGCCTTGAATCCCTCTGATTATTTGGTTTCCACCAATGGCCGCTTCGTGATGGGGTTCATGAACCGGAGCTACTTGGGGATATGGTTTAACTCGTCCGTTTACGATTCCACGGGCCACCCCGTTTGGGTTGCTTCCAGAGATCGACCTCTGTTTCAGAATCCAGGAGCGTTGACGATTGACACCTCTGGAAAGTTGAAAATTCTGCAGGACGCCGGGGACCCGGTCGAGATATACTCCGGGAATGGAAACCCAACTCAGGGAAACGTTTCGGCCGTTCTTGAAGATTCGGGCAACTTGGTGATCAAAGAAAAGGGGGAAGTTTTGTGGCAGAGCTTTGATCATCCGACTGATACTCTTTTGCCCGGGATGAAATTGGGGTTCAGCAATAAAACAAGGGAGGAGAAGAGATGGAAGCTGACTTCTTGGCTGGATGAGGAAAACCCGGCCCCTGGAGCATTCACTGTGGAGTGGGATTATAGTACCCGCCAACTGCTTGTTAAAATGCGTGAATCAGTTTTCTGGAGGAGCGGGGTGCTAGATGCTAACAGCAGGAAGTTTCGGGCGACTCGTGCTCGTTTCCTGGATGAAGTGCACAGATTCTTCAATTTCACCACTGTTTCTGACCCGGGCGAGGAGTCCTTCAGCTACGAGTTCTATGACGAGGGGTTGGCTCCCTGGAGGAGCAACGAGTCGCAATGGGTTATGGGTTATCAAGGAACCATACAAGACGCTCGAACTCAGATCATGGTTTTGTATTTCGAGAACTGTGATGGGAATAGGAATGAGGAGAATGGGTGCGAGAGATGGGACTCAGGGCCAACATGCAGCCGACGTCCTGGGGATCGGATGCTACTGAGAGCTGCTCGGACTTTTGGATTATCAGATGTGCGGAACCGTAATCTTAATCTAAGCTTGGCTGATTGCAAAGAACTGTGTTGGAGGAACTGCAGCTGTAATGGAGTTCAAGTTCGAGATGGAGATGCATGGAACTTCAGAGGCTGCATCTTTTATACAGGCACTTTAAGTTTCCAGGATTTGCGAGGGAATGAAGGGCAAGTTTATGCGATTCTTCCAGCTCCTCCATCTCCAAAACGTAAGTTCTTCACCTTTTTGTGTGAATCGTTATAGTAGTATACTAGTATTGTATGGATGGTTGACCAGAGCAATAGAGTGACTTCAAGCAATGAATAATGCAAGTGCTATACTGTGTCCATCCCATGTGGGATTCAAAAATGCTTGAGACCCACTGCCAATAACCTAAACTGATTTCTATTTTCATAAGTTACAAGTCTTTGAATCTTAATTCATGTTGCCAACCTCAATTTGGTGGATTGTTCATTTGGGTTGTTAGTTAGGCCATAAATATATATAGGGTTAACGTAACAGAGTCACTGGCTTTTGTGGCCAAGGCTTTAAAAGAGTTCATAATATGGGTAACTACAGCAAGCAAGACGTGGATATGGATCATCGTTGGTGTCACTGGTGGTCTACTCATAATGGTCACAGGCTTCTTGTTGTACCTGAGATGGAGAAGACAGAAGTTACATGGTTGGTATCTTCTCACAACCAATTTTTAGGCTCATTCTAACAATCATGACTGCATGCCAAGATTGCTAACTATTGGAATCCGAATTCCAGAGAAGTTTTTGAAAGAGCTGATGACAATAGACAGACCAAGTGATGCATCTCCACACGAAGATAATGGAAACTCAAAGGACGACAACAGTCTGCAAGTCTACACAGCTTTGTCAATCACAAATGCGACCAACTCCTTCTCTTTGAATAATAAACTTGGAGAAGGGGGATTTGGACCCGTTTACATGGTATTCTATATTGGCCTTGTCTCATTCAAATATCTTTATTGAATGCTTAATGCAAGTTTTTTCTGTCTTGGTTGCTATATTTTGGATGCTCAATCAGGGGAAATTGAAGGAGGGACAGGAAGTAGCGGTGAAGAGGCTTTCGAGAACATCAGGGCAAGGACTAGTTGAGTTCAAAAATGAGCTCATCCTCATAGCTAAATTGCAACACTCAAACCTTGTTAGGCTTCTTGGTTTCTGCGTTCAAGGAGAAGAAAGGATGCTGGTGTATGAATACATGCCGAATAGAAGTCTGGATTCTTTCATCTTCGGTGAGCTAACAATAATTACTGAACAAAATGTGGGATAACTAGTTATTTGCGTAAGATTTGATCTTAAACTGGTTTCGCAGATGAATCGAAAAGGAAGATGCTGGGTTGGAAGGCCCGTTTTAACATAATTGAAGGAATAGCTCAAGGCCTACTTTACCTGCACAAGTACTCTAGAGTCAGAATAATTCACAGAGATCTGAAAGTGAGCAACATATTGCTGGACAAGGACATGAACCCCAAGATATCTGATTTTGGGATGGCAAGGATTTTCAAACCTGATGACGCAGCTCAAGATAACACCAGAAGAATTGTTGGCACTTAGTAAGCTTACTCTATACAATTGCACTCGTGTGAAATTCATTAGGAGTAGCTTCTGATACACCGATACTCGTAACACTATGGTGGTTTCAGTGGATACATGTCTCCAGAGTATGCAGCAGAGGGCACTTTCTCAGTGAAATCCGATGTCTACAGTTTCGGAGTCATAGTTCTCGAAATAGTGACCGGCAAGAAGAACCACAGGGCTTACCATTCTGATCGCCCCCTCAACCTCGCTGGCTATGTAAGTTTTGTTTGTTAACACCACCATTTCCCATCTCTTTTGCCTATGCAACTACTAACCCCTGGTTTTACTCTTTTCTGAAGGCATGGGAGCTGTGGACCGATGATGATAGCGATGCTCTGGAACTATTGGACCCAGCGGTGAACGGTTCGTCAGCTGGAGAGGAAGGTGATGGCTGCAGAGATGAAGCCTTGAGGTGCATTAACATTGGACTGCTGTGCGTGCAAAATGACCCACGAGACAGGCCGGTAATGGGAGATGTACTGTCCATGTTGACCAACGGGAGCCAGCAGCTGCCGATGCCGCTGCAGCCGGCGTTCTACCTTGGACGATACGGAGGAGGGACAAGCACTAGCAGTGAGAACTATACCGGTGAAGAAGAGCACCAGAGCAAGAGACTGTTTTCAGTGAATGAGTTATCCTTGTCCACTATGCGCCCACGGTAGTAGTAGGTAACTTAAGACTTTTGAGTCTAAATTTACGAAGTCGATTGAATTATGAAATTGTTAACACTTTATGATATGATTGTAAAACAAAAAACCTTGTGTAGACAAATTAGTACGTGAATGAAAGAAAAGTGGGAAATAATCTAAATTTCTCAAGATATAATGCTTCACAAGAAATTTTTTTACTTAATACGTTGTAATGTTCTTACTAATTAAGTACACAACATTGCAGCAACATGTATTCAAAAATACGAACGTGTTTATTTGCTGATAAATATATCAAAGGGTATATCCTATAGTAAATGATAATACATTTTTTTCTACCAAAAAAAAAAGATAATAAATTTATATTTTATATAAAATAATTCATTTTCGAGTTAAAACGTTGACATAAATTCTGCATACAATGCGGAAAGTACAAAGGTTTCCACGATCCAATACATAGGGTGAGCATTGGCTTGGCGATTTAAAAAGGGTAAATACTATTTTCTTAGCCAAACCTTTCTCACATTTCAAAATATTAGCCAAACCTTTCAAAATATGAAATATTAGCCAACTGTAAAGTTTCTGTTAAAATTTCCATTAGTCAAGACCGAGAAGCAGGAGATTTAATGTGATGAACAGGGACGGCGCGTTCAAGTGGAAGCAACTGTGGAAGGTACTGGCGGAGCAATTCGGGATCGAGAAGCAGTGAATGGAGGATGCGGAGGGGCGGCGGAGATGATGAAGGTGAAGGAGAAGGTGTGGGCGGCGGCAGTGTTATGTAGAAGGAATAAGAAAAGATGAGGGAGAAGGGTGTTTAGCATTTTTCCTAAAATATAAATTAAAAACATTTACTTATTTAATTATTTGGGTGACATGGCGGTACACATGGCCTGAGGTGTCCATTAGGTGTACTTTTGTTAGTTCTTCCGTTAACTCTAACCAGAAATGGCTATTATTATATAATGTTATCAAAGATTTGACTAAGTTTTCGTATTTTTATAGGTTTGGCTAATATTTTGAAATGAAAAAAATGTTTGGCGAAAAAATAGTATTTACGCATTTAAAATAAAGGTTAATAGCATAAATTGTTTCTTTATTATTGCATTTTATTAAATTTGTCCTTCTATTATGTTTTACGTCAAACTTACCACTCTACTATGATGAATTTTCAAACATATCTTTCTGAGTTTCATCCAACAACAGTTAATTCTAACCAAACCCTTAATATAATCGATATTCCTGAAATTTGTGTTAATTTTTGCACTTTCGATTATCTCTTTACCGCATTGTCGTGAGTTGAATATTGTATAAAATTCTTGTTGAACCAAACTCAGAATGAAGGGATCGGTTAGCATGCTAACCCTTCTAAGGGGTTGGAAAAATGACACCCCTATTAAGTATAGTTATTTTTTGTATTAAATTCGTGTTGCATTTAATAATATTTGGAAATTAAAAACTCATCTTAATTACATTCCTTTTTTTTAACTACCATTGTACTGATACAACTACCATTGCACCTATATACAGAACTCGTATTAATTACGTTCCTTTTTTGGAACTACCATTGCACTGATACATCTACCATTGCACCTGTACACAACTACCAGTGCACTGATACAACTACCAATGCACTGAAAAAAGGAAAGTAATTAATATGTGTTTTTAATTCATACAGATTATTAAATGCAACACAAATTAATTACCTTAAAAACCTATAATTAATAGGGGGTGTCATTTTTCCAACCCTTTTATGAGTAGGCATGCTATCTCATCCCCAGAATGAAATCTTCTGTGTCTGTCCCAACTCTCAATCATATTGATACAACTGCACAAATGAACAACGACTCTATCGACTTGCTAGATCTCCGACAATGAAATCAGGAATGATATTCTAAAAAGAAAAAATATGTGCGAGATCTTAGTGAGAAAAATCATAGTCTTAAATGTGATAACATTCACATTATTTTTATTATTGAGAGACCTCTACATCTTTTCTATTATCTCGCTATAGTGATATTTAATAATTAATACTATTTATTGATCGTTAGCCTCGACAACAAGAGTTTGTTGTAGAGTGTAGACTAAAACGTTCGCATGCTGTGTGACTCTTTGATGTTGTTCGGTATGATCAGACAACATCCAAAGGCCGAGGGGTGGGCTTACGGGCCCATTCTTGCTCTTGGACTATCTGAGTTTGGTTCCCATAAATGGGCCCAACGTAATGGATATTGCTATCTATTTTATTTTATTTTATAGGAGATATTGCTATCAAATGAAAGCGCTAAGAATCGTGGAGGAAGAAGTCGAATAAAATACAGAACCGAAGGGCAAAATAATTGGAAGAAGTCGTTGAATCCTCTAATCTCACTTCCGTTGACTTCCAAGATCCAAAACAACGAACTATGAAGAAGTCAACAATCACGAGGTTTTCTGCAGATCGCACAGACCCAGATGTTGTTCGTCATGATCCACTCCACGGCAGCAGCAATTCTCGCAGTCATTGTCACATTCTCTCAACTTCATCCTCTGTTTGCAGCAGCGACGAACACGCTCAACCAAGGGGACGCCTTGAATTCCTCCGATCATTTGGTTTCCAACAATGGCCGCTTCCTGCTGGGGTTCATGAACCGCAGCTACTTGGGGATATGGTTTAACTCGTCCCTTTACGATCCCAGCACTAGGTCCCACCCTGTTTGGGTTGCTTCCAGAGATCGACCTCTGTTTCAGAATCAAGGAGCGTTGACGATTGACGCCTCTGGAAAGTTGGAAATTCTGCAGGACGCCGGTGACCCGGTCGAGATATACTCCGGGAATGGAAACCCAACTCGGGGAAACGTTTCGGCCGTTCTCGAAGATTCGGGCAACTTGGTGGTCAAAGCGAAAGGTAGCAGCTCCGAGGAAGTTTTGTGGCAGAGCTTCGATCATCCGACTGATACCCTTTTGCCCGGGATGAAATTGGGGTTCAGCAATAAAACGAGGGAGGAGAAGAGATGGAAGCTGACTTCGTGGCTGGATGAGGAAAACCCGGCCCCTGGAGCATTCACTGTGGAGTGGGATTATAAAGCCCGCCAACTGCTTGTTAAAATGCGTGAGTCAGTTTTCTGGAGGAGTGGGGTGTTGGATGCTAACAGCGGGAAGTTTCCCGCGACCTGGTCCCTGGCTGAAGTCAACAAGAACTTCAATTTCACCACGGTTTCTGGCCTGAGGGAGGAATCCTTCAGCTACGAGTTATATGAAGAAGGACTGGCTCCGGGTAGGAGCCACGAGTCCCAATGGGTTATGGGTTATCAAGGAACCATACTGGACGCTCGAGCTCGGATCATGATTTTGAATTTCCAGAATTGTGATGGGAATAAGAATGAGGATAATGGGTGCGAGAGATGGGAATCAGGGCCAACATGCAGCCGACGTCCTGGGGATCGGATGGTACAGAGAGTTGCTCTGGCTTTTGGATTCCCAGATATAAGGAACCGTACTCTGAATCTAAGCTTCGCTGATTGCAAAGAACTGTGTTGGAGGAACTGCAGCTGTACTGGAGTTCAAGTTCGAGATGGAGATGCACGGAACTTCACAGGCTGCACCTTCTATACAAGCCTTTTTAGTTTCCAGGATATACAAGGGAATGAAGCGCAAGTTTATGCGATTCTTCCAGCTCCTCCACCTCCAAAACGTAAGTTCTGCACCTCTTTGTTATAGTAGTATTGATGGATGACCAGAGCAATAGAGTGACTTCAAGGAATGAATGATCCAAGTGCTTTACTGTGTCCATCCCTTGTGGAAATCATAGATGCTTGTCGCTTGAGGGGCAATGGCAATAACCGAAACAGCTTTCCATTTTCAGAAGTGGCAAGTCGTTGAACCTTATTCATATTGCTAACCTCAATTTGGTAGATTGTTCTTTCGGGTTGTTAGTTAGGACATAGATATATAGGGTTAACGTAACATAGTCAATGGCTTTTGTTGTGGGTAAGGCTTTAAAAGAGTTCATAATATGGATAACTACAGCAAGCAAGACGTGGATACGGATCGTCGTTGGTGCCACTGGTGGTCTACTCACAATGGTCGCAGGCTTCTTGTTGTACTTGAGATGGAGAAGACAGAAGTTACATGGTTGGTATCTTCTCACAACCATTTTTTAGCGTTCATGCTAACAATCATGACTGCCTGCCAAGATAGTTAACTAATGGAATCCGAATTCCAGAGAAGTTTTTGAAAGAGCTGATGACAATAGACAGACCAAGTGATGCATCTCCACATGAGGATAATGGAAACTCAAAGGACGACAACAGCCTGCAAGTCTACACAGCTTTGTCAATCACAAATGCAACCAACTCCTTCTCTTTGAATAATAAACTTGGAGAAGGGGGATTTGGACCCGTTTACAGGGTATTCTATATTCACCTTGTCCCATTCAAATCTCTTTATTGAATGCTTAGTGCATTCTTTTACAGTCTTGCTTGTTATATTTTGGTTGCTCAATCAGGGGAGATTGAAGGAGGGACAGGAAGTAGCGGTGAAGAGACTTTCAAGAACATCAGGGCAAGGACTAGTTGAGTTCAAAAACGAGCTCATTCTCATAGCTAAATTGCAACACTCAAACCTTGTTAGGCTTCTTGGTTTCTGCGTTCAAGGAGAAGAAAGGATGCTAGTGTATGAGTACATGCCTAATAGAAGTCTGGATTCGTTCATCTTCGGTGAGCTCACACGATCTTTCACCTGATACCAGCACAAAATGTGGGATGACTAGTTTTCTTCCATTAGATTTTATTTTAAACTGGTTTTGCAGATGAAACAAGAAGGAAGTGGTTGGGTTGGAAGGCCCGTTTTAACATACTTGAAGGAATAGCTCAAGGACTACTTTACCTTCACAAGTACTCGAGAGTCAGAATAATCCACAGAGATCTGAAAGTGAGCAACATATTGCTGGACAAGGACATGAACCCCAAGATATCTGATTTTGGGATGGCAAGGATTTTCGAACCAGGTGACGCAGCTCAAGATAGCACCAGAAGAATTGTTGGCACATAGTAAGCTTCCTCTATGTCATTGTGCTAGTGAGCTAATTCATTAGCATTAGCTTCTGATACACTGTGGTGGTTTCAGTGGGTACATGTCTCCAGAGTATGCCGCAGAAGGCACTTTCTCGGTGAAATCCGATGTCTACAGTTTCGGAGTCATAGTTCTCGAAATAGTGACCGGCAAGAAGAACCACAGGGCTTACCATTCTGATCGCCCCCTCAACCTCGCCGGCTATGTAAGTTTTGTTTGTTAACACCACCATTTCGCATCAGTTTTGCTGATGCAGCTATTAACCCCGGGTTTTGCCCTTTTTCTCAAGGCATGGGAGCTGTGGAACGATGATAACGGCGGTGCTGTGGAACTATTGGACCCAGCGGTAAAGGGTTTATCAGCTGGAGAGGAAGGCGATGGCTGCAGAGAAGAAGCCTTGAGGTGCATTAACATTGGACTGCTCTGCGTGCAAAATGACCCACGAGACAGGCCGGTAATGGGAGATGTACTGTCCATGTTGACCAACGGGAGCCAGCAGCTGCCGATGCCGCTGCAGCCGGCGTTCTACCTTGGACGATACGGAGGAGGGACAAGCACTAGCAGTGAGAACTATACCGGTGAAGAAGAGCACCAGAGCAAGAGACTGTATTCAGTGAATGAGTTATCCTTGTCCACTATGCGCCCACGGTAGCAACTGAATTTCTTGAATTATGAAATTTGTCAAAACATATGATTGTAAATGTAACACCATAAATGTACTGCTCTGCTCATGACTAGTGATAACAATGGGTATACACTATTGAATTGTCTTCGAAGGACCCTAAAGTGAGCTTTTATTCATTAAACTATTTTTCAACATACTTTCTATATGAGCAGTGCAAGTAATGGTTGAATTGCTCTTTGAGGTGAATAAATACGTTCAATTTCATAGTTTGAGAATAATTCTTTTTATCTCATCAAAACACGTATCGCTTAAGATTGAATTGTTCAGTGGCGGGGTCACGGTTCAAGATTAAGACACTAAAAATAAATATTCTTACACAATTCATAATACTCGTTTGTCGCCTCGAATATTTCATGTTCACGGTTTTACTTACCAACCACTTAATTTTAGAGAATTTTATGACACACGTCAACCTTACATGTTACATAATAATAATAATAAGTCTCGGGTACTTATTATGAGTTTACCAATTCCTAATTTAGTATCGTATTCTCCACCTTTAAATGAAAATCTCTCAAAAACTATGAATAACGATCGTGAGTCATTTAATATTAATATATAGTTTTTTTTTTATTTTTAAACCAAAGTTAGGCCAATGACTAGACACACTTGTTATATAATAATTAAAAAAAATAAACCCGAATTCATTTCCCCCCATCTCTAGTTAGACTTAATCTCAAGCATCCAAAATTTCAGGAAACCACCAAAGGAATCCCATACACAGAACTATCTATCAATCAAAATCAAAACAACTATACACTAACACAATCAAGTAGATCCATCCACCAACAACAGCAATATTCTTAGGTAAGTGTAATATCAGCCAGTAGCTCCCAAAGCAACAACTTCCCTTTGCTCCTTTGACTTTGACCACCATCATCCCTCTTCTTCCTCACGCGCTTCAACTTCCTCCGCACCAAATCCATCCACCCAGGCATCCTGACCCGGTCCGGCCGACGAACCACCGGCCCACAAAACCCAACCAGACCGGCCACGACTTCCCCCATCGTCGGCCGGTCGTCAGGATTCGACGACACACAACGTGCTGCCACGTACAACAGCTTCTCCACCGTGCCAGCTATGAAGTACTCCGGCAGCCCCGCCGCCACGTCGCAAATCTCCATAGTCCTCTGCTCCCCGATCAACCCGGTCGACCAGTCCACGATCGACGAAGGAGATCGTGCCACGTCAATGGCCTTCCGTCCGCTGATGATCTCGAGCACGACCACCCCGAAGCTGTACACGTCGACCTTCGTGGTCAGCTTGTTGGAAGTCGTGTAGCACGGGTCCATGTAGCCTATGGTACCTGCTGCTGCTGGCTGGTTTGTGGACTCGCTGTGTCGTCGCGACACAGCGAGTCCGAAGTCAGCCAGCTTCAGCTTCCAGCTGGAGTCGAACAGGATGTTCGAGGGCTTGAGATCCCTGTGAACGATGCACAGCGGTTTGCACCCTTCGTGGAGGAACTCGACCGCCCTGGCGAGTTGAGCGACGATCTCAACTCGCCGGGCCCACGACGGGCATGATCTGCTGGGAGTGACGAGAGCAACTTCTTTATCGTGTAACAGGTCTTCCAGTGACCCGTTGGGCAAGTACTCCATGACCAGAAGTCTTTCGGCCTTCTGGAGCGAACAACAACCGCGGCTCGCTTCCAGAAAGTTGATGATATACGACGGACTCTGTCTTCTTTCTTGTAGAGAAGACAGAGTCCGTATCTCGTTCTCGAGCTTGCAGGAGTTCTCGAGCGCGATGTGTTTATGGTGGCCCGAACTCGATCTCTTAACCGCTACGACTTGGTTTGGGTGGAGGAAGGCTTTGTAAACCGAACCGTGGCTGCCTCTGCCGATGAGGTTGGAAGGAGAGAAGCCTCCGGTGGCCATGGCGAGTTCTTCATAGTCAAACGTCCGATGATCGTCATGTATAGTATCTTCTTCTTCGGAGAGTGATGGAGCCATTGTTTTCTGCGAAAGTGGAAGGAGTGATGAGAACTTGAGAATGGCTAGGGAATATATTGGTGCGGTACGTTTGTTTGGTTATTGGAGAGGGAGAGAATAAAGGGGAGCATGAAAAGAAGGGAGTTTTATAACGAGGGTATTATTGAAGCAGGAAAAAGCTGTGAGAAAAAAAGGGAGAAGGAGCAAATGGATGTCTAGCTGAAAGGAAGAGATTCTGACTTGGTTTCCATGTTCTACTTTTAGGTTTGGTGGCACCCTCGTTGTTTGGGTGAAAGGGTCCCCCGACAAATATATGCACATCTTTTTTTTCTCTCTACTTTGCTCACACTTGGGACACGTGTGGATGTGGAGATTTTTCGATCCGGTGCATTTGTAAATCGATGTGTTTGTAAACATTGTCGTTGATTGATAGCTGTTGTATTCGTATTGGAAGTTAATACGTAATGAGCTACACAAAGGAAATCAGATGTGAAAACTATATATTTTCTCAATCTCGTACGAACAAATTGGGTAGATAGGATTTCAGAGCCCAAATGATGCTTCATGTCATCTTTGTCTCAACAACTCCATGATCTAAAGTAGATACTTGAAAGTGCTTCACTCCATATGTGAGTTCTTTAGTTGTTGGAGGGAGAAGTTTTTGTCTCTGTCATTCATACACAACAAAACATGTGTTTTCACACAAACCTTACTGATTATTTTTCGTATTTTCACTTGTAGGCAACTTGTTTCTTCACACAACCTCATCGATCTCGACTATAAATTTGATAACTTCTCCACCCAATCTTATAAATTCAATTAACCAATCACACACCGTGTCATTAACCACGTGTTATATCATGACTGCTAATTATAAATAAGGAAATAAGATGGTCGAGTAAATTATACTGTCTCGTTGTAAGACGGGAGACTTTTTCTCGGTTATTTCTTATTAAGCGATTCTGCTTCGATAGGTTGGTCACTGGAGTTTGACAAATAGTTAATCCAGCTAGGCTAACAACAAGGAACAATCTGATTGACTTCGACTACCTACACTTTCGATCGATCCGCATCGATTCTTAAAAAATATATATACTGTGAAATGATTAATCACTTACACTCCAGCAATTGCTTGTTAGGTTGACGATTTCTATAAAAATTTAACTATAAACATTCTTCTCCCAATGTCATCTGCAACTGTTCTTTGAAATTAAAAATCGAATTGATGGTCTTAAACAATATAAAGTGAAACATTCTTCCGTGCGTCACCTCCATTATTAATTAGTGCTAATTGGAATTTTAAAATAGAAGCTCTTAGCTAGATCGATGTCATATCATATTGGCTACCCACTACCCTACTAATGCCTGCCATTTATTTATTTTAATTAATTTGATCCGAGATTAATGTCGAATTTGTGCAGTCATTAAGAAAGATTTTCTATGTTAGGTTTAAAAATGTTGAAAGTACAATAACAAGAACTAGGTTAGGCAGCCGACCTTTTTTTTTTCCTACCCTAAGTAGCTGACCTTGAGACATTCTTAGGAATTTTTCCTATTCCAACCTTGCTGTTATAAGAAGTATTTGTCACCTACATTCGTAGTGCATAAGTTCAACGAAAATTTTTCTCGTCTGGATCCATCGAGTTGAGTCGTAAAGTTTGTTGAAAGTACATCAACGTCACACAAGCCAAGGTTCGGAGGGCTATGTCACTCCATAGCCGAGCATCGTTACCAAATTTAAAATAGTAAAGCCGACTATAAAACGAGTTTTCTTCCTTCAAAACTTAAAGAGGCCAACACAATCATCGAAACATATGTGTTTTTACTCTCTAAATGGTTCGTAACTTAACTACCAACTGACTTTTGTGTTGAAGGTGGTGAAAATGAGGGACATCCTCAACTATGAGAAACCTTTCAAATTGGAGGAGCCATCTTAATTAGATTATTATTATTAATAATTAATCGTTAATTGATGAGGAATAATTATCCCTTCTTCTTTCTAGACAACTAGACGAGGGAAGATATAATGACTAATGTGGCTGTCGGCTCCACACCTTGGATCCTCGGCAAGGGCCACTCAGGTCCATTTTTTACTGTTTCCATGCAGGCCCATGGACTCACTTGGTGGCCCACGATTTGACTCCAGCAAGGCCCGCGATTCTAATTCCCCGCCATTTCGCCTTCTCCTCCGCCAGGTCATTTCCCGATCTTTCCCTTTTGCCGTCTCAGTTTCCTCCCGCGGACCGAGAATGGAGACTAAAATCGCGAGGACACCGCCGGCGATCGGCGGTTACGACAGGCTCAGCTTCTTGCCGGACGAAGTCATCTCTCACATCCTTTCTTTCCTTGAAACCAAGTACGCCGTCGGCACCGCAGTTCTCAGCCGACGGTGGGGAGATCTTTGGACTAGGGTTTCCAGCCTCGACCTCGACAGCCGCTTGGTTTACAAGACACTCGACGAATCGCTGCTACTGGAACCTCTTACAGATATTAGAAAGAGGAGATACTTTCAATTTAGAAGCTTCGTCGACAAGGTACTGAACCAGCACAAGAATCTCGATTCTCTTAGGCACTTCCGCTTGCATGTTTTAGTGGATTATCATCCCGAGATGGTGATCGCTGAAGTTAGGGTTTAAGAGGGAGCTGGTGTCTGGTCCTCTAATGGAAGAGATTGATGTTATGATTTGCGAGGATTTCAAACTCGCATTCCCTCGCTGGATTCCAGGAAACTTCTACACTTTGAAGAATCTCAAAGTTGCAAAGCTTTCCGAGGTCTTCCTGTGTACAATACGAGAGTCCGTTTCTCTTCCTAATGTGGAGATTTTACAGCTTTCCTTTGTGGAGTTTAGTGACTTCGAGTCATTAGGCAGGCTCATTTCTGGTTGCCCTGTTCTAGAGACTCTTCATCTGGAGAAATGTCAACAAGTATAAAAGGTTTAGGGAAACGCACTATTGAGGTTTCTTTACCTTGCTCGAAGACTTTGAAGATTACCGATTCTGCTCATCGCGATGATCCAATGTGTCCCATTGTTATGGAAGCACCGAATCTTGAAGATCTCTATCTTGAGCAGTTTGCAGATTTACAGATTAAGGGCAGTGGTCCATTGTCACGGCTTCATTCGGCACGTGTTGGTGCACGCGCGAGCTGTGTCGAGGCTCGTATCACGACCTGATTCGCCTCCTCGCTCAACTCTCTAATGCAAAGCAAATGAGCTTATCTGGGCATACTCTGGTAATCAAACATATATTATTTACCCCACTCTTTTTCATTCTGAATGTTCGATTTGGGATTTTGGATGATGATAAGAACGCTAATCCTGTTTCTCATTGTTCAGAGTCATCTGTTTGCTGTTGATGAATATGTTCGACTGCCTGTCTTCCCCAAGTTGACATGTCTGACTATTGAAATGGGAGGCAGTAGCTGGGTTTTGCATTCCTTGCTCAGCTCCGTCCCAAACTTACAGTCTCTTGTCATTGACCTGGTGAGTCCCCTGCGATCATTTGTTAATTCGGATCTCCACCCCCTCCTGTTAAGTTTTCTCATGAAAAAAATCTGCACGAAGCAGAATCGCACTGCAAGAATGATGTGGGAGAGTCTAGAAGGTGCTTGCACGCCTCAGTGTTTGTTATCGAGCCTGGAGGAGATCGAGGTCAAGCAACTTGTAGGGTTTAACGACGAGAAGCGAATCATAGCGTACTTTCTCAAGGCTGGAGCGGTCCTGAAGAAGGTGAATATGCACGTACATCACGCATTTCATCAGATAACGAGCCGCAAAGATCTTGTGTCGCTGCTAAAACCTTCAAGAGGATCGCGTGCCTGTGAAGCTTGTCTCTTCTTCCCGAATGGCGAGCGTGTGTACAGCGATAGCGATGATGATCAGAGCAACACCGACGACGACATAGATGATGACTCTAGTGGCAGTGACGATGAGACCGACAGCAGCGCAGTGAGGAGAGGATTCTCTTTGATTTGGGCAAAGGAAAGGAAGCTCTGATAACATGATGAAACTGCATTTTGATTTCCATTAGTTCACTAGGCTGAAGATCCTTATGTGTTATATTTCTGATCAGATCAGTGATCATCATGTAAGAACCAAATCAGTTGTTCAAATTTAGGTATCTACTGCTGCATCTTAGGGGCCATCAGTATTTGGGAATTGCTGAAGTGAGGATACTGCCAGAGATGAATGGGCCATGTTGATGCTACAGTGGTTGGCCCAGTGGGCCACTATGATAAGGCGGTGACGGATTTAATCATTCTCACTCATTACCCACAATATTTGGGTTAATTGCAAGGATGGTCACTAAGTTTACTAAAACCGTTCATGTTTGGTCACTGAAAATATTTAATTCCATTCATGGTCACTAAGATTAGTTCAATAGTTCAAGTTTGGTCACTCTCCGTTAGTCTCCGTTAGTTTTTGCTGATGTGGCAATCAACTATTATAGTTGACCGTTAAATGAGTGACGTGGCCATTAAAAAAATAATAAAATAATAATATTTAAATATAAGAAGAAGAAAAAGGAAGAAAGAAGAAGAAGACAGCCATGGAGGCGACCAACTCCAACAGAAAAAGACCGAAATCCCGGCACAACTCAAAAGTAATTTCCACTCCCCAGAGACCCATCCATCCAATTTTTTTCAACTCCACCTCCCCTCTTCTTCAACCACCGAATTAACCCTCCAAAAATAATCTCTACCCCATTTCCATGGATTCCGATCGCCAATCAAAGTTCCCCTGCTCCTTCTTACTATCAACCACACTCATTTAACGGCCACTTCGCGATCGCGAGCACGATCGGCGGCACGAACGACGCGATCGTCATCCTGTACCTCTGCACCAGCTCCACCAGAGCCCCAATCTCAAATTTCGCCGTGATCAGAATCGCCGCCCCGACCCTCAGGCCGCAGAGCTTGATCGAATTCAGCGAATAGATGTGGAACAACGGCAAAACGCAGAGGATCACGTCGTTCCGATGGGAATACAGATTCGGATTCTCGCCGTCGACCTGATGCGACATGCTCGTCACCAGCCCCCTGTGCGTCAGCATCACGCCCTTCGGCAGCCCCGTCATCCTCGAAGAATACGGCAGCGGCACCACGTCGTGGGGATTTATCTTCACGGCGGGGAGGATCGGTTCAATTTCGCCCTCCTTCACCAGATCCGAGAATTTGAAAAACAGAGCATCGTCGATCGTGACGATTTTCACTTCCGATTTGATTTTTTCGGCGAAATTGGAGTGCGTGATCACGAGCTTGGCCTTCGAGGCGGCGATCTGCTTGGCGATTTCGACCGGGGTGTAGAAAGTATTCGTGGTTGTGACGACGGTGCCGAGGTGCGAGGTGGCGAGGAAGGCGTAGACGAATTCAGGGGAGTTCTGGAGGAGGAGCATGATGACGTCGCCTTGCTGGATCCCGAGCTCGTTGTGGAGGCCCGCCGCGACGCGGCGGGCGGTGAGGTCGACATCGGCGTAGGTGTGGGTGGTCCCCGTGGCGGCGTCGATGAGGCAGGGCTTGTCGGCGAACAGGGCAATATTCTCGAAGCAGTAGGAATGTAGAGGGAGGCAGCTGGGAGAGACAAGAGGACGAGGGAAAGAGAGAGAAAGAATCATGGATAGGGAGAGTGAAATCAGGAGGAGCTGTTCCACTGCTCGATCCGGAGAATTGCGCCAATGGATGGGCGTCACCGCCAGGAAGCAAATTCATGGTTCGAGGCCCTGAGTACTTGAAGACCAAGGTCAAGATTCCAGCTGGAGACTACCTCCTGAAGCCGATCGGGTTCGATTGGATCAAGGGTCCGACCAAAATCTCTGAAATTCTGAAAGACCCAACCACTAGAGTTAGGAAAGCCTCCATGGCTGTCTCCTTCTTCCTTTTTTTTCTTCTTATATTTAAATATTATTATTTTATTATTTTTTTAATGGCCACGTCACTCATTTAACGGTCAACTATAATAGTTGACTGTCACATCAGCAAAAACTAACGGAGACTAACAGAGAGTGACCAAACTTGAACTATTGAACTAATCTTAGTGACCATGAATGGAATTAAATATTTTCAGTGACCAAACATGAACGGTTTTAGTAAACCCAGTGACCATCCTTGCAATTAACCCCACAATATTTAGATTCACGTTTTGGTGTTAAAAATTATCTGGGTCCAAGTTTTCTTCTGCCAAATTAGAAAATATTTGGGGAATGTCTATAGCTATTAATATTTTTGTCAATCTCTAGGCGTGCATGGCATCATTTTGAGAATTAAATGACGCCGAAAATACTCAAACAATGCACGGAACTACAAACAACCTTGTTCTCCGAGACGGGATTCAATTTATTGATTTTATTATTATAAAATAAAAGTTAAGACTAATTTAAAAATTTACGCATGGTTCATGACCGTACTATCAAGTATCATGGTTCTAATGGAGTAGTACTTTTATTGGGTGAAAGAAAAGAGACCGCATATTTGGTATAGCTTACGATCTAAAATAGATTGTTTGGTACTCATAGAAGATTGTGGTGGGAGATTGTGTTGCTAACTTTATTAGATTAGACTAAGAAAGCATTGTTAATTGTTATTATTAATTAAGAAGAAGATATGATAATAAAGGACAGCGTTTACATAAGGGTTGTCTTTATATTATGTCGGATGATTATCTGTTTAGGGTGGAGTTAGTGTGGGTCCAAATGGAATTGGCTGGTTCCATTATTACACCTCTTTCCAATTTTAAGGTCATAATATAAGATCCATCATTAAATAAACAACAATCACGTATTATAGGCAATATCATTTAGGATTTTAGACAAACAAATTATTAGTTAGTACAAATATTTGTTAGGTATTACCATGGTTCAAAAAGGCATGCTTAAACTTACGCTTAGGCACGCCTAGATGCAAGGCAATAGCAAAATGCCTCGCCTAGGGGATTTCAATTAGGTGAGGAGACATATAAGTCTCTACTAAACATTACTAGATGAAGTTAGGAAGTCAATATTAAATGAGAAAATTAACGTCAACTGTGAAATCAATTTTCTATATCAATATTTTCAATAACTCAAGAAGTTTGTGAGCTATTGAACTATGATTTTATGAATTCGTGCGCGATGTTCTTGTCATTAAATGTCGAGTAAGTTATTAATTATTTTAACTGATATGAGAAGTGTCGTAGATTATTATTTCATTCATCATGCAGTGCGAATAGTTATTTTACTTTCAACGCCTAGGCACGCTTAGGCTACGACTAGGCGAGCTAGGCGCTAGGCAAAGCCTCAACGCCCGCCTTACGCTTAGCCCCTTTTTGAACATTGGGTATTACTTATTAGGTTTTAAAAAAAAGAAAGAATGAAGTGTTGTTTTTTACTATAACATTTTGTCTCTCCGAGTTTTGGACCCTCCTAAATGAGATCATGTATGGATTGCATTCTCAATCCACACAACGTTAATATCTGTTTAGGATAAATAATCATGCTCTGAAATAAGATATCAACATAAGTGCATTATAAAATTTCCTCGGAATTTTAGAAAGAACCATACATTAGGAAATAACACTATCGATAAAAAAAAAAAAGACTTTAGAAATAAGTCAATTCGTTAAAATCGTGATGCACAAACAATACTAATATTTGAAATCTAAAACACAAACACATTAAAGGGGGCATTCATATTCGTATAAGTAGTTGACATATTACATTCATCTAAACGATGTTTCAAGTTCAAACCTATAAAATAAAAAGACATTTTCTCAACTAAATCGTTTCACTTTGGTTAAAAAGGAAAAATAAAAGGGTCACCAATCGAAAATTGAAAGTGTAATTGGATTTTCTACCCAAAAAAAAAAAGTGTAATTGGATTCCCTTTTCCTTTATGAATGAATTGTTTAAGAAGAAGAGGTGTGGTTGTGGGACTGGGATGAGCTGGCGGGCATCCTTAATTAGATGGTCATATCATTTCATCATACTGTGCTGTCTTGCTGAGTGACCCATCTCTTTCTCCATTATCATATTCATCATCTTATCAATTCTATATTTAATATTTCTCTACTCTCCAAAATCAACAATCCCTTTTTAACCAAATCCCAAATGTCTTAGTTATTAAATATTGAACATTTCTAAATCCGTGGTTTACCCTAATCCCCATGATTTTCAAAAGTTACCCTTTAAATCTCGGCTGGACAAAAGCATCAAACAAAGCAAACACTGAACCCCATACCAGAAGAAGAAGATGGGACTAGGAATTGATCACAGTAAAGAGTACACCTATGTTCGTGGCCTCGTCATGTTATTGTTCGATATTTATTTTCGAGAAACACGTATTTGTATAAAATTTTAATATGCGCCCGCGTTACAACACAAAATCGGAGAGATTTTCTCGTTTATCAAACCGCACAAAATGATCCATCCAACCAACAGATGTTCCTCAAGCTATCCCGCAGCTAAAAAAATCAAGGGGTAGGGAGGGGGAAAACAACAACCAAAAGGATGATGATGGGTAAAATAAGCTTTGTAGAATCTCATCAAGCAATCAAGAGTCTCCATACTTTGCTGTTGCAGTCTCACTGCTCCTCGAACAACAATCTGCCATCTCAAGTCTCGACCACGTCTCGAATTAAGTTTTATGCCAACACGAGATAAACACTCTATAACCGATCATAAACGACACATTTAAGTAATGGTTGCATTTGAACAAAGACCGCCCAATAAAATGGATTTATCTAAATAACTATACTTCTTCAAAGTGGGAAACCACTTTCAGGCGATGATGATTGAGTGAAGAGCACAGCTAATTAACAAATTTTCAATAATAAATATTTGTTCGTATGATATGGCTTTCTTTCAAACCTACACGACCCCACGAGTGGAAATATTTTCTTCATCTTCTTCTTCCTTCCCCACCCGCTGCCTCTCTCTCTCTCTCTCTCTCTGTATTTCCAGACCAGGCAGTAGACAATAGTCAATCAGAAAGCAAGCCCCACAACCCTTCCCAGCTAAGCTCCAAAACGAATTAAAAACAGAGAAACCAATTCAGTCATTTACACAGTCACTCACTTCGTACTCTTTTGGGCCTTTGTTTCCATCCTCTCGTCGTCCCTCCTTCCCCTTTCTAGCAAACCAATCAGATACAGATGAATGGCGATTGAGATTGGCACCCTACTCCACAACCCACCAAGCAGAATCGCCAGAGCAGCAATGGGTTTTTGAATTTTCGACTCACAGACAGCAACACCAAGAAGAAAGTTGAAACCTTTTTGGCTCTCTCTCTCTGTCTCTCTGTCTTCCCTTTCTTTGTATTTTTGCTACAGAGAGAGCAGAGTGAGTGAGAGAGACAGAGGGAGCGACTGTTTTGTTTTGTTTAATCTCTCAAAAGCTCGCCCCACAAGGAGGCCAGGCCACCCTTCCTCCTCCCCCCCCCTTCCCCACACAAACAAAAAAGAATGGAGCTCACAGATTCACAAAGCAATCCCAATAAGCAGCAGCAGCAGCAACAGCAAAACAACAGCAGTTCCTCACAAGAACCCCACCCTCACCATCTCCACCACCATCTTCTCCAGTACCAACAGTTCCGCTTCGATGGCGGCGGTGGAGTTGGACCGTCTCCTCCTCAGCCGCCTCCTTTCATCGGCTCCATCTCCCGTTCTACAGCTCCTTCTTACTTCCCCCATCTCCACCACACTCCCACCTCCGCGCCTTCTTCTGCTTCTACAACTCCAACCGCTACTACTACAACCAATTCCTCTTCTTCTTCCCCTTCTCCCGCCGCCACGCCCTCGAATTCCACCCACCTCGTCGACGCCTCCCTCGCCATCAGATCTGGGCCGCTGTCGGACTCCTCTGCCCAGAAAAACGAGAGTAGTAACAACAACAGCCTGGCAGTGGTGACGGGGGGAGGAGCAGGGGCGGTGACGGTGGCGGCGGCGGCCCCGAAGCGGTCGACTAAGGATCGGCACACGAAGGTGGATGGGCGGGGGCGGAGGATCCGTATGCCGGCGGCCTGCGCGGCTAGGGTTTTCCAATTGACGAGGGAATTAGGGCACAAATCGGACGGGGAGACAATCGAGTGGCTGCTGCAGCAGGCGGAGCCAGCGATTATCGCGGCGACGGGTTCGGGTACAATCCCGGCCAATTTCTCCACGCTGAATGTCTCGCTGAGGAGCGGCGGCGGATCTAGCCTCTCGGCGCCTCCGTCGAAATCGTCGTTTCACGGGGCGCTTGCTCTGGCGGCGGCGCAGCAGCATTATGAGGAAGGTTTTGCCGCCGCGCATCCGGCGCTTCTAGGGTTCCACCACCAGCACCAACACCAGCATATGTTGTCGGCGGATCAAATTGGGGAAGCTCTGCCTAGCCCCAGCGGCGGAGAAAGCGGAGGAAGGGCGGATTCGGGGGAGAATTACAGGAAGAGGTTTAGGGAGGATTTGTTCAAGGATGAGAATCATCAGCAGCAAGAAGGCGGAGAGAGTAGCGGCGGCGGCGGCGGCGGCGGCGGCGGCGCAGAGGGAGGAGACGGCAGGGGATCTCCGAATAAAATCCCCAAACAACAGCAGGAAGCAGGGCCAGCGTCATCGCCGTCAGCCTCTTCTCCGCTGCTCCGTCCATCCAAAGTTGTTCCGACCACCGCGATGTGGGCTGTGGCGGCAGGCCCCAACGCCGGTGCCGGGAACACGTTCTGGATGTTGCCGGTGACAGCTGGCGGCGGCGGAGGAGGTAGTGGCGTCCACCCAATGGTCCCGCCGACGTCCACCGAAGCTCAGATGTGGCCTTTCTCACAAGCTGCAGTAGGAGCAGGGAACCCATCGATTCAAGCTCCGTTGCATTTCATGCCAAGATTCAACCTTTCCTCCCCGAACCTGGATTTCCAAGGGGGAAGGCCAAGTCATTTACAGCTGGGATCAATGGTGATGCCGCCGCCAACCGCAACAAATCAGCCGCAGCAACAGCATCCACCGTCGCAGCATCTCGGGCTGGGAATGTCCGAATCGAATTTGGGGATGCTGGCTGCCCTCAACGCTTACTCCAGAGGCGGGTTGAACATGAATTCTGAGCAACACCAGCACCAACATCAACATCGTCAAAATCACCATCAGCATCAGCAGGAAGAAGAGGAAGCAAATAGCGATGGTGAAGAAGATCCCAACAACAACGAGGACGATTCTCAGTGATACAGGAAACAAATTCGTGGGTCGTTTGATTCCTTTTGGTTATCATCATCAGTCTGTAATCAAAATGGGGGAACCTGCCATCATCTGCCATTAGCAATTTAGCAAAGGGAATGGATTGGAGAGCTTGAGTTGGATTGATTCTTGGTTTGTTAATTAAGCCTTAATTTGGTGTGATTTAGGGGGGGGATTTGGTTTCATTTGATTGTGAAGTGAAGAAGGAGAAGCGGAAGGTGGAATGGAGGGGAGGCATGGCCAAGTTTGACAGAGTGCTTCGCTGTGATTATTTTGGCCTTTTCTGTATTTCAATTTTTTGGATTTTTTTCCTTCAATTTTTGTTGTATTTTTGTTGGGCAGAGTGAGGAAGTTTGAGTTGGGGGAAATATGTAATTTGGTTTTGTTTGGTCCAAAGGGACAAAACAGAAGGGATAGACATCTCCATTCTCTATAATATAATAATAATATATGTAGAGAGAGAAGGGGGTTGTAATTGTATTGTATTTGTGTTGATTGTTTGGGATTAGTGTGAGTAAATTACTATTATGAGAGTGGCAAGAAAAATGAGGAAAGAAAACTGAATTTTGACCTGTACAAAAGGAGGAACTTTGACAAAAGGGACCCTAGAAGGGCGATTTGATTAAAGAGGGTACCTGGTCACTTTTTTGGGGGGGGCTTTATTGCATTTGTTTTGAAATTTGGGTATTGGAATGGAAATAATGCAGAAAGAAAGGCAGCAGCAAGACAACCAAGGTGGTGGTGGGGAAGAAAGGGGAAAGGGAAAGGGAAAGGCAAAATTCAAAGGAAAGTTGGGAGGTGGGTGGGTGGAACTGTGCTAGGTTTTTGGTTGCACATTGGAAAGCATATCACAGCTTGCCACTCTACAAGGTATCGAATTCGACGAATTGGATCGAATCGGGATGAGACATGATCGTATTAAATAACAAGTTACGGATAAAAAAAACCGTGCTTGGTTTGGAACTTCCTCATGGTAGAGTGGTGGCTAAGGTAGCAAAATTTTGGGTAGGACATCAGGATCGGTTGATGGCGATTTTCTACCGACGAGCTCCTCCCTATCAAGAGTCTGCAAAAAGGGACATCCAATCGATCTCAATCAGGGCGCTGTGCTGGGGCAACACTGTTGTTATGGAATGTAGAAGAGACTGAATTGAGAATTTCACGCAGGATTCGACATCTATGCTATAATCGTAACTCAAGGGTTTCGATGGACTTTCTGTAGCCGTCACTTGGACAACAAAGTAGGGCTACGTGTCCTAGTCGAAGAGCACATAAGTATCCTTACCCTAGCGAATTAGGACAACGAAATCAAAATGCAAATTCATCAAGTTAGTGAGAGCTACTCTTTGTCGTCGTCGAGGGTGTTGTCCTCACTGTCAGCCTCGTCATATCAACGTTGAGGTAAGAAGCTCAACTGCGCAAGCGCTCGATCCTCTTGGAAGTTCAAGCAGTGGCATAAGATCTGCTTCGTCCATCAAAGCACAGCATACGTGCATATGCACCTTCTTCAGGACCGCACCAACTTTGAGCAGATATGCTATCATTTTCTTCACTTCTGGATATGCTACAAGTTCTTTGATCTTGATCTCCTCCAGGCTTGATAACAAACACTGTGGCGTGCAAGCAGTTTCTAAACTCTCCCACCCCATCCCCGTTGGTACACTCATGGGATCCTCCTGATTCATGTAGATGTTGATTAGAAATGCTATCGAAAGAAGATCCAAAACAAATGAACACGGGACTCTCACCATGTCAATGACAAGCGATTGTAGTTTGGAGGCTGACTTGAGCAAAGAGTGCACAACCCAACTAGTGCTGCCCTCGAATTTCTCGATTCCAATTGTCAAATGTGTCAAATTGGGGAAGCCAGGTAGTTGAATATCATCTACAGCTGACAATTCACTCTGTTGAAACAAAGGTTTAACAAATTTAGCACGCTTAAGCACAATATCAGATAACTGGAAAGAAAAACGCCACCCTTATTACCAGAGTCGCCCCGGATAAGCTCATCCTCTTGGCATTGGAGATTTGAGCGAGGAGCCGAATGACATAGCTTGGGGACTCCTCGCATAGATCAACATGTGCTGAATGAAGGCATGACAATGGAATACTATCCTCAAACTGTACGTCTGCAAATTGCTCAAGATAAAGATCCTCCAGATTTGGCGCTTCAATAACAATGGGATGCTTCGGATCTCTCCAATAGCCGAAACAGCAAATCTTCAGTTTTTTCAAGCATGGTAAGGAAACCTCGATTCTATCTTTCTCCTTGTAGTTAAAGTGGAGCCAATTCTTCAGATGAACAGTCTCTACAACAGGGCAACCAGAAAGGAGCCTGCCCAATGACTTGAAGTTCTCAATTTTCACACCACGAAGCTGCAAAATCTTCACGCAAGGAAGAAAAACGGACTCTTTTATTGCACCCAGTACAACCCCATCAAGCTTGGCAGCTTTCAGATTCTTCAAAGTGTAGAAGCTCTGTGGAATGCAGTGCATACATTGGGGAATTCGGCATCCGGTTTCCCCCACCATCACATCAATCTCCTCAATCTGAGGAACAAACACCGATTCCCAAGTAAACCTAAACCTAAACCCAGTTTCAGAAAGCCGCATTCGGCACTTGTACAGGTAACTAACATCCACTGGATAATGGAAGCGGAAACGTCTAAGAGAATTGAGATTCTCGTGCTGGCTCAGTACCTTGTCGACGAAGCGGCAGAATTCCATATCTCGCTTTACAAAATCTGAAACAGGTCCTAGTTTCTGCGGTTTGGCCAGAGACCTGTAAACCAAGCGGCCGTCGAAGTCGAGGGAGGAAACCCTAGTCCAAAGATCTTCCCACCGTCGGCTGAGAACTGCGGTGGCGACGGCGTACTTGGTTTCCATAAAAGAGAGGATGTGGCAGATGACTGGATCCGGTAACGAGCTGAGCCTGTCGTCATCGCCGATTCCCGGCTCTGTCCTCCTCGCGATTTTACTGCTGTTCTCCGTCTCCATTCTCGGTCTGGAGAGTGGAGAGCAAGTTGATCGTGGAATTTGAGGGCGAAGAAGACAACATTCGTGGGCCTTGCTGGACACAAATTAGTTTGGTAAATTGCTATTCTGCATTTGTTTGGGCCTTGGGCCTCACAAACAAAAAGGGTTCCGAGAACAAGAATGGGGAATTCAATCATAGGGGTAGCTGATAGGGGTGCCTATTTGATACGGGTTTTTTTATTTTATTCGAAATTGGTTTGTATAACCTGGATCGAGATCTGATCGGGACAGACACCGGATAACAACACAATTCAATTTCATCTCTCCGCTTATATTTGAGGTAAAAAATTGTTTGGGACCGGACCGAAAACTGAATAAAGACCAGATAAGAGATACCAGCACCCAAAACTTAATCAACTCTTCACCCTTTCAGGCCTCAGGCCACTCAAATCCCCACAAGGTCAATCTAAAATCAAAACCGAATTGGGACTGGACCGGGTCAAGACACGACCAGATCAAGACCGGACTGTATCCAATCCAATCTTTGGTCCTCATATTCCCGAAAGATCGGAACAGAACCGGATCAATTTGGGCCAAATTAATCGGACCAGATCGTATAGCCACCCTTAGTATATGGTTACCTTTTGGAGGGCCTTTTTGCATTTATTTTAAATTTTGGGTATCTATAGTAGTGGAGAGCGTCGATGAAGGGAGTGGAAGAAAAAAAAACAAACAGAAGGCACGAAAAGTAGGCTCATTGGCGATTGGGGGCTCGGATCGAATTAGGAATTTAGGATGAGATTAAATCACCATAAATGAGTTAATTGCATGATTGGTCACTGAAATTACAAAAAATGTTCATATCTGGTCACTGGAAATATTTAAATCCAATCTTGGTCACTCAAATTAGTTAAATGGTTCAAGTTTGATCACTCTCCGTTAACTCTAGCTTACGTGGCAGTCAACTATCATAATTGACCGTTAAATATGTGACGTGGTAATTAAAAATAAAAAAATAAACTTTTATATTTTCCACCTCATTATTATATTCATTAAAAAATAAAAAAATCTAATTTCTTTTCTACTCGCCCAAAACCTAACTTTCTGCAAGCCCTGGCGCGCCATCTTCGCCGACTCGTCGCTCCACTCCGCCTTCGACCTCGACACCTGCTTCGATTCCGGGCCGGCGTTCCCTCTCTGGTGGTCTCCGAAGTTCGAGAGGAGGATCGATTCTATGCTCCGCTCTGTCATCGCCTGGAGCGACTGAACCCTCTCCGAGATCCGCTCCCGTCACTACTCCGACCGATCCATCTCGCCACCGAGAGGTAACGAAAGACGGTTTCTTTAAACCCTAGAAAAATGAATTTTCAATCGAATTTCTTAGATGATGATTTAGAGAAACGATTGGGATTGAATTGAATTGATTTTTCCCCCCAAGTTCCCTAAGCTTCAATCTTCTTCCCAGGGTTGAAGCACTTAGAGCTTCGATTCTCGAGGTTAACGGCCAAAGGGATCGAATCGATCAGCGAAGGGTGCTTGAATTTGGAGTTCCTGGATTTGTCAGGGTGTGTTAATGTCATTGTCAGGGGGACGCTGCGAGCTTGACTTTGAGCAGGTTGAGAAGTCAAATTCTGCATTTGCATGTCGTTGATCGGGCATTCAAAGGGGTATGGGCATTGAGATTTTTTTGATGAGAGGTTTCAGATTGATGCATCTGCATCTGTATGATGATTCTGGTATAAAAGCTGCCTGCTTTGTGAACACTCTGCAGTTTTTTTGAACTTGCTCGGTTTCGCTGCTGGTTCTGGTTTTCGGGTACCTATAAATATAATCGTGAGTGATTTTCGTTTCGTATATCTGGTGATGGTGAGGTTGGGTGGGTTAGGGTTTTGGGGTGTGTAGAAAAGAAATTAGGTTTTTTATTTTTTAATGAATGTAATAATGAGGTGGAAAATATTAAATTTTTTTATTATTTTTAATAATATTTTAATTGTCACGTCATATATTTAACGGTCAACTATGACAGTTGACTGCCACGTAAGCTAGAGTTAACGGAGAGTGACCAAACTTGAACCATTTAACTAATTTGAGTGATCAATATTGGATTTAAATATTTCTAGTGACCAGACATGAACGTTTTTTTGTAATTTCAGTGACCAATCATGCAATTAACCCCACCATAAATAGATAGTTTTTTCGAGTATTTTAACAATGAGGATTTTAAGTTGGACGTCGGGATCAGTTGAGAGTGATCTTTACCGACAAGCTCCTCTCGTGACAAATGCCTTGATACAGAATTGTCGAGCGTTTAGTTTTCGATAATAAAAATTTTTATCGAACAGTCGATACGCTACGAATTTTTCAATCCTTGAGATAAACGCATTAAAAGGCAACAATGGGAGGAGTGAGCAGTGAATGATTTTTATGCAGGTATAGTTTGATTTGGAACCATTAACTACGTGGTGGATGAAGGAGAAAAGCACGTACATGTGGGTGGGTAGGGTTGAATGATTGCGGATAATGGATGACAATGTAGTCAAAATCGCGCTTTAAAACTTAAAAACTTACGATTTTACGCTTCTAGATCACCAAAACGTTTTCGTTTCTATGCAAAAACTTTAGTGTACATATTAGACAATAAGGACCATTCTGTAAATAACCAAATAAAGGTAGAATGTAATTAGGACCTATAATGTAAATTAGCTAGGTTATAATCTTTTCCAATTTTACCATTTTTATTCCCGAAACCTCTTCATTATTATTACTTTTAATTTTGACAAAATTTATCTAACTATTGGTTTTAAATTGTGAACTTCTTCTCACCAAAAAATAAAAATAAAAATAAATTGTGAACTTCTCTAGTCTCTAGATAGTGATTGTGATCTACAATGTGACAAAATTTATCTAACTAGTATTGGTTTAAATTGTGAACTTCTAGTCTCTAGATAGTGTTTGTGATCTACATTTCATCACTCTAAAAGAAAACTAATACTTAAAAGAAGAATTAAGAAATAAACAAATAAATGATTAGACAGTCATTAATAATTATATTCATAAACCTGGTCACTCTTATCAATTTTTATTAATGGGTTGATTTTTTTTATTTTGTATTTGCTTTATTAAAAAAAAAACTCAAATCCAAAGTTATAATTTTCATTAACGGGTTGAATTTTTTATGTTGTATTTGTTTTATTGAAAACCTCAAATCCAAAGTCATAATTGAATAATATTTGATTGTTTAAATTAAGTTGTTAAATATGAGTTAATTAGCAAAGTCACACGTATAAGAATTCTCCTCAAACACTTAACCTTATATTAATAATAATAATAATAATAATAAACTAAACCTATATAGTATATATACACATGCACAAACTCTCTCGTTTGGTGGACGGATCCAAGTGTTCTTTTGAGCTATGGTGTGGGGGAAAAAAACCATATGTTGAATTTTCCTTTCCTCTCCTACTTCTTTTTCAAGCTATTGTGACAAAACCCTGCCCCAAATTGCTAATCCAAAAGACCACTCAATACAATTACTTCATGATCTGACATGTACATAATGAAAACTTAATTCTCGATTCTACGAGAATTTCCACCCAAAAAAGACAGCTCATTGAATCAAAATAGAGCACATAAGAATCCTTACCCTAGCGAATTAGGATACCAAAATCAAAATACGAATTCATCATGTTAGTGAGAGCTACTCTTTATCATCGTCGAGGGTAGTGTTTGTCCTAACTATCAGTCTCGTCATCTCCACGTTGAGATAAGAATCTCAACTGCGCCAGCACTCGATCCTCTTGGAAGTTCAAGCAGTGACATACGATCTATTCCGTTGATCAAACCACAAAATACATGCATATGCACCTTCTTCAGGACAGCTCCAACTTTGAGCAAATATGCTATCATTTTCTTCGCTTCTGGACAGGCTACAAGTTCTTTGATCTTGATCTCCTCCAGGCTTGATAACAAGCACTCTGGCGTGCAAGCAGTTTCTAAACTCTCCCACCCCATTCCCGTTGGTACCCTCATGAGATGCACCTGCTTCATGTAGATGTTTGATTAGAATTGCTATCGAAAGAAGATCCAAAAACAAATGAACACGGGACTCACCATGTCAATGACAAGCGATTGTAGTTTGGAGGATGAGTTGAGCAAAGAGTGCACAACCCAGCTACTGCCCTTGGGTTTCTCGATTCCAATTGTCAAATGTGTCAAATTGGGGAAGACAGGTAGTAGAATATCATCTGCAGCTGACAGTTCACTCTGTTGAAACAAAGGTTAACGAATTTATCGCGCTTAGGAACAATATTAGATAAATGGGAAGAAAAACGAGACCCCTATTACCAGTGTTGCCCCGGATAAGCTCATCCTCTTGGCATTGGAGATTTGAGCGAGGAGCCGAATGACATAGCTTGGGGACTCCTCGCGTAGATCAACATGCGCTGAATGAAGGCATAACAATGGAATACTCTCCTCAAACTGTACATCTGCAAATTGCTCAAGATAAAGATCCTCCAGATTTGGCGCTTCAATAACAATGGGATGCATCGGATATCTCCAATAGCCAAAACAGAAAATCTTCAGGTTTTTCAAGCATGGTAAGGAAACCTCGATTCTATCTTTCTCCTTGTAGTTAGAGTGGAGCCAATTCTTCAGATGAACAGTCTCTACAACAGGGCAACCAGAAAGGAGCCTGCCCAATGACTTGAAGTTCTCAAATTTCACACTACAAAGCTGCAAAATCTTCACACTAGGAAGAAAAACGGACTCGTCTATTGCACCCAGTCCAACCCCATAAAGCTTGGCAACTTTCAGATTCTTCAAAGTGTAGAAACTCAGTGGAATGCGGTGCATACAATGGGGAATTCCGCATTCGGTTTCCCCCATGACCATCACATCAATCTCCTCAATCGGAGGAACAAATACCGATTCCCACTTAAACCTAAACCTAGTTTCAGAAAGCCCCATTCGGCACTTGTACAGGTAACTATCATGCACAGGAAAATGGAAGCGGAAACGTCTAAGAGAATAGAGATTCTCGTGCTGGCCCAGTACCTTGTCGACGAAGCGGCAGAATTCCAAATCTCCCCTCTTTCGAACATCTGAAGCAGGTTCTAGTTTCTGCGTTTTGGCCACAGACATGTAAACCAAGCGGCCGTCGAAGTCGAAGTCGAGACTGGAAACCCTAGTCCAAAGACCTTCCCACCGTCGGCTGAGAACTGCGGTGCAGATGGCGTACTTGGTTTCCATAAAAGAGAGGATGTGGCAGATGACTGGATCCGGTAACGAGCTGAGCCTGTCGTCATCGCCGATTCCCGGCTCTGACCTCCTCGCGATTTTACTACTGTTCTTCGCCGCCATTCTTCTCAGTATGCACTATGGAGAGCTAACGGAGAGCGGTAGTGGAAATATTGGGAGCGAATTTGCGAAGAAGACAAGGGGGAATAAACATTCGTGGGCCTTGCTGGACTCAAATTAGTGTGGTAAATTACTATTCTGCATTTGTTTGGGCCTCGCCTTGGGCCTCAAAAACAAAAAGGGATCCGAGAACAAGAAACTTTAGATCACCCTGTATAGAAACTAGAAAGTTAGACATCGAGGAGGACCAAGCACCATATTAAACTCATCGGAGAAATGGAAGCGGAAACGCCTAAAACCGAATTGAGATTCTTTTGCTGGTCCAATACTTTGTCGACGAAGAGTCGGAATTCCAAATCTCTCTCCCCTAAAAGCATATGGACCAGCTTCTAGGTCGAGACTGGAAACCCTAGTCCAAAGATCTTCCCACCGCCGGCTGAGAACTGTGGTGGCTACGGCGTACTTGGTGGTTTCCATAAAAGAGAGGATGTAGGAGATGACATGGTCCGGCAACGAGCTGAGCGTGTCGTCATCGCCGGTTTCCGGGTCTGTCCTCGCGATTGCACTAGCGTTCTTTAGTCGTCTCCATTCTTCGTCTGGAGAGGAAGCTGAAACGGGAAGTGGAAATATGGGGAACGAGTTGGCGGAGAAGAAGGTGAAACGGAGGGGATTAACAACTGTGTGGGCCTCTTGCTGGACTTAAATCGTGGGCCAAACAACTAACTCATAGGCCTGAATTGGAACTGTGGATATGGGCTCTTTGGACCAATGGCCCGAACACAAACTAAGCATAAAGCTAAATTAGTACAAACTAAGCATAAAGCTACATTACTCTCGAATCCAGTATATTTTCTGTACATAAAAGAACTCTCAAAGGTTCAGAGAGCAGTGCGCTGCAGCCGTTTGTACAACACATTACTTCTCTAACTTTGTACATTGATCCATAAAATGCTGCAGCCGTCGTCCATCTGATGAGGGTTCCAGGATTCGGCTCCCTCCAGATCATGAAAAACTGTGTATGGAGGCTATATACATACATACAACTTAATCCACTTCTAGGTGTTGCGCTTTGCTTGCAGCTTGTTGCGCAAAGAAGCTAACCAGGTTTTAGCTCGACTTATTATCCGGGTGATCATGTCGAGAATCCAAGGGAGGATGGACAAGCTTCGAAGCCTACAGGAAAAAACAGGGCAGAAACAGAAAGAGGATATCACTACGTCGAAACCAAGAGATCGCCACAACGTTCACGGTTCTAATGGCTTCAAGATGTTTGATTTCTAGGGTGCCAAAAAGGTTTGAATGCCAACTTACGATAATGTATCCGCTGCACAAAATATGGGCAGCCTCCGGAGTCCTATCCCCTTCCATTTTTTCCTCTCAGAGAAAATGAGATGGTCAGCGCTCGAGCTAGTCGCAGTTAGAACAAACTGAAAGAGACATGGTATATGCTTACTGCCATCTCAAGAAAATGTGAAGGGACATGTTGCTATGTATGTGGATTTGGATGTATGATACTTACCAGGGGATATAGAGCGCCCATCAAGCCGTAGCTCACAAAAGTTGACACAAAAAAGATAGCCAGAACACTAGGGCTGCCTGGAAAATTGCAAACAAAGGAATTCCATCTTTAGGGAACGTCAAGAGTTAGCATGGAGCAGGATGTTTTATTGATAGATCGTCTATAAACTGACTTGAGGAATGTGGAGAAATAACTAGCCATGGATATTCACAAAAACAGGCGACAGTGAGAGAGATCAGGACATAGTTACCAAAACCAGCAAAAAAGGCCCAGTTCGTTTCGAAGAAGTCCAGTCTCCTGTCCAGTGGCACTTCAGAAAAGTTCCATTTGTACCTAAACAAAGAGCAGAGAACCAAAATCAGGGGAATGATCCACACAAAGTACTTTACAACATCAAACATGTCATACTGGAAAAATGCATACACATCCACCTACTCGAAACAGTAGTAGGCATACATCCAGGACATCATTACAAAACTCAATGCCTTCCCAACAAAGGGCACGATTCCTACAGCATGAACCTGTACATAAGAGAGCACAGATGTTAAAAATGGGAAAACTTAAGTAGTGATTTTGCTGCTGCAATTTCAGCAGTGAAACGTGGGTTAGCCCACTTGAAAGAGCATTGTACCAAGCTCACTTGCCAGCTTGATCACTGCGATACAGTTAACAAAAACCAGATTCTAAGGACTCATAAGTGATCCTGTAGATAGGCTTATGAACAACTTTTCTGTAAAAACAGGTACCAGCATGACTGGTGAGAAGTTTGCTCACGTGACAACTGTTAAAGAAAAAATCACTGTGACTACTAGTTGGAGAAGTACAACAGCTCAAAAGATTAACATGCACAAACCCATGACAAGTTCTGAAAGATATCAACCACAATACTGCAATAACACTTCAAATGACAATACACCAACCTGCAGCAAGAAGAATGTTAACAGCATTAGTGAGTACACCTGCTCCCCTATTCCCACGAAAATCCTGCCAGGAAAAAGTACAAAAAAAAAATCAACAACTTCCCATTTTAAAGGTTCATTGAAGGGAGAAAACAGAATCACTAAGAGATAGGTGCAAGTTTGAAGTACCCCTCGAGACCAGGAGGCTTCTCCATTGGAGCTTTTTTGGGCTCTGCAGCTATCTCATCCGAGCGTGAGGGTTTTGATAGGTTGAGCCCATTGTTTCCCATTGCAGCGAAACCATGTTTAGCAATGTCATTGTACCTTTGATTAAGGCGGTGGAAATAAGAGGTCAGAGATTAATAAAAAATTAAAATAAATAGAAGGCCTAGAAGCACCAACAAACCCACATGTGAGGCTGAAGCTGAGATTAACAATATTAGCAAGTCAAATGAACCTCCAACCAACTTCGTTCAAATCAAAGTAGCACATTGGCAACTAACTGAGGGATAATACCACCTTATATTTTCTTAAGTGGGATACTGGCATATGATCGGGCAAAGCATTTGAAAATACATTTTCTTTTGCATTCATATTTCACCTCATAGTACCAGCACAGAGCAAACCACTTGAAAAGAAGAAGTGAAGTCCAATTGGAAAGCTGAAACTAAAAAAGAAAGAATGATACCAGAGAGTGCTCAGGATAATACTGAACAGGTACACTGGGCAGACCCAAAAGATCTGCAAGTAAAAGCAACATATGGGGTTAACCTTCTGAAACCTTAGACAGAGAGGAAATTGTGAATGCTTGCCTCAACACGAAACCTTTGAACAAGAAACGTAGCGATACTGCCACTTGCAGTTAGATTGGGACAGGTTTAAAAAATTATGAAGACTTTCCCTCACTGTTTACTCTAAACCTTATGTTACTAACCCAGTAATTGGACACAAGACAACGGTCAACGATCATTCGTTTCATAAGCAAGTGCCAGAAATGTACGGGAAGAACCAAAAGGGCTAAACAATAGAAAGCAGCAACCTTGCTGCGAAAATCTTGGACCCACACCACTTGAAATTTGTCTAACTATGAAATGAAATTGATTGATGAGTTATAATCATGAGATGGAAGTGATATAATAACGCCTATGAACAGCATACTCACGTAAAAGAGTTGCACGAGGCCACGGCGTAAGAACGAGTAGTATCTCAGAATGCCACCGTGCAAGCATGGTTCATGGGAGCTAATCTCTGAGCACTTATCAGGCAAAATCCATTGTAATGCTGGGATGAGTACTGAGTTCAGCATAAATAGACTGCACAGTAGAGAACATTTGGACAATTACTTCACCAAGATCTTCAAGGTAACCATATAATCTAATAGCACCCTCGTCTTTTTTCCTAGCTCTACTAACTAGATTCTCTTCCTAAATGAATCACATTCTGATTTGACACTCCAATCAAGAGGTTTGAAGTAGAGAGAAACGAAAAGTTACCTTCCCAAAAATATGAATCCATTCAACAGAAAACACTGCCCAGTTCGAATCAGTAGCTTCTTCGACCTGCCAAGCGCCAACCCAGAAGAAAAGACTTCAAATTGGTCAGGCAAGTAATCGCTTCCTCTCCGAAAACAATTGGGAAAGAATTTTCCTTAGCAAGCAATTGGGAAGAGTTTACAGAAACTGAAACCTGCGACAGAGGATGAAGGCGCGATGAAGGCAGCAAGCTTCTAAAAATCCTTCAAGCCATAGAAGCGATGCTTGCTTTAGCTTTGCCGTGAAAACTAGAATCCTCCCCATTGCAGAAAGGCGGAGAGAGAGCACACAAAAATTAATAAATGGAACTTTGGCGTCTCTGTACAAACAAGAAGACAGAACTACTTCGACCAAAAAAAGGAAGGAAATAAAAAGAAAATACAGAACTCCTGCTTGCTTCTCATCTTCGACTACTCCTTGAACTTTGGTTGTATACATATTTAGTGCCTCAACTTTTAAACTTTAGACTAACAAGTCTAGAAAGTTCAGGTTTGATCAATTAACCGGGTCAATTCTACCCGCAAGAAGGAAAAAAAAACTGACCAAACCGGATTGGTGACCAATGTGCTCGTAGCTGAAGCCTGTCCATTTTCAATCACCGAAAGAAAAGCTTGGAATTGCATTTGCAGAAGGCGGTGGGTTTGATTCCTTCCTGGGAATATAATACAGCTGTGGAGGAGAAGGAAGGAATCAGCGATTGTTCAGCAATCTGTTGATTGAACTCGAAGCAAAATATAGTGAACAGAGGAAAGTTTTGAGAGAGAGAGAAAGATAAAGCGGGGAGGAAGATGGCCAAACCCGTTCTAGAGCCGTGCAAGAAAGAAGCCTGCGATATTCAAGCTTGTCTCTCCAAGAATAACTTCCTCCCTCAGAGGTAATGGGTAAACCGTGAATTCATTTGCTCTTCCTTACAAAGTTGATATGGATCTTCCATGTACGAAGATGGGTCGTGGGGGATTAGGGTTTTTGCCTCCGGGGGTCAATTGTGGATGCTGGTTTTGATTGTTTTCCAGTGAATAAATCAGTAACAGAGGATGGCGCTCAACGGTATTGTTGATTTGTTGTGTTTAGCGAATTATTGGAGTGGTTTGTGCTGGTATTGATCTTGCTATACTGCAGTTGTGCTGGTATTGATCATGCTACTGCAGTTGAGCCCTCGCTCTAAAGGACAATGAAAAGGTTATCATCTTTAACTCTATTGTTTGGTGGTAGTCTTGGTAATGATTGCTTTGACATTCATTTCATGTTTAGAGTTCTGTTTCTCTGCTATGAAAGGTGGCTGTCAATCTAGTTCGTCTAGGCTCTTAGAATGAGAAAATCGGATACCCGCAATCGAGAATCGGTTCTTAGATTAGAATATAAGGGAAGGGAAGTGTGGACCACGAAGTTCGCTTGTTCTCTTCATGTGATGTTTAACTATCTCCTTCGTTATTGACCATCATATCGATTCAGTGTATCACTCTGGTTCCTTGCAAGTGTTGTTCTTTTGTTGGACAGAAGGAATGCAGAGAGTAATATGGGGGAAGTAGCCTTGACTGCTAAGTGCTAACTGCTCAATTTTGGTGTGCAAACTGCAAAGAGCGATAGATAGTTACTTCCTCCGGGATTACCGAACTGCTAACTCCTTGAGAGTTTTAATTTCTGTTAGCGTACATGGGCGGCTTGCTTCCATGCAAATCCCTCCAAAATGGATTTAGGTACTCCCTTGTCATCACCTTCTCACATCATGAGATTGGTTGGGTACAATAACTGCACATTTGATACTCTTGACAATCCTTTTGAAAGTTGTTCTTGTTGACCTAGACTGCTAATGGTTTCAAGATTTGCTGAACAAATTGTTCTTTATAGGCTTCTGAAAGAGCAATGTTTAGCTGAGTTAGGTGATACTGGAAAAAAAGAGGAAAACTCTTCTTCGGTTTCGAATCATATGCTACCTTTAATGTCATTCCAACTGTTTCTGTAGCCATATCATATGCATCATCATGTGGGCACAACATCTTGGTGGATAGAAATGTACATTCATTGTTTCATTTCCCTCACTATAGCTGGGCACTCAGCCAACTTTAAAGATTTGGAGAAAACTAGCATGTGGTAGTTAACCAGTAGGTAGGTTCATTTCATGCTGTGTGAGGAACACTCAGGTGAAAAATCAAGGCTCCTTTCCTCACCGGTTCGCTGCGGAGGGCTTCAAACTGCTTGTGCCTGTTCGTTTGAACTTCTTATTCACTGCATCGCTTTGTAAAATTTTGACTGCTGTGGTGATCTATTTTATTAGTTATTTTGGAGAAGTTGCAGAATAACTAATTAGTTACCATATTTTGGGATGCTTGCAATGCAGGTGTCAGAAATTTATAGAAAACCTGCAATCATGCTGTGAGAAGTGTGAGAGCAAGTCGACGCATTGTGCTTCTGTGTCTGCCCTTCTGAAGCAAATAACCAAGAAATGAAAGCTGAAGTATTTGGATAAAGCATACAGTTTCCAGATGATCATCCATTTATGGTCGATAGTAAAACTCAGCCAGTTAGTATAGAATACCCTGTTAAAGCTCAAACTTGGGTGCGAGGATTAGCTGTGGCGAACCTGAAAAATGATACAGCCACCATACATGTTTGTAGAGGCAGCGTTGTAGTTGTGAGCTCATGCTGTGTTTTGCATAGAATATGAATATGGTGGAATGCCATAGGTGATTAGCGGAAAAAGGGTGCTGATCAAGAACTCAACTGTATAATTGGTGAAAAAATTACACTATATAACAAGCAAGCATCGCTCAAAAATTACAATCGCCCAATTCCACTTCTCTATCTTTCTTGCTCCTACGTGGGACGAAAGTGCTTGAACTCTGGACGGTGTATAGTGTGTACACTTAGAAAGCCAAAAGTAGAGTCTTGCTTTCCGTTCACCAACCATGTCATATCTGTGAAGTGCGAGATGATCTCGAGGAGTCAGAGAGCTGGTCCTGCCCTAGATAAACAGCATTGCCATCAGCAGCGATTGTTGTGCAAAATGAAGGAGCAACTCAACATATGTCTCCTAATGGGAAGCCGATCGCATTCCATCCTGGCGCTTGAGAGGGATTCCTTCGCCTTCATACCCATCCTCTTCTGAATGCTTCGGTATTCTGACAGGGAGTGCTGCTGAACCTGTTACCAAACATCAGAAAGATGGATACAAACCAGCAATGAGCAGGGAACATATAGGATGGATCGTTCCCTCAATACCAAGGAATAGAAGGAAATGTCTTATAGTAAACATACCGTCAGCCATATCCTTGGTTTTGTGGAGAAGAAATGTGCCTGATAAGATGGTCACAAACCCACACATCTCCGTCACTATCTGGGTTGGACTTTGCCTATCCCAATCCTGATGGAAGAATACTCGAGATTTTAAAATATGAAATTGATCAAAAACCAAATCCTCCCAATCATGATGGAAGTAAGAACACCCAAATTATAAGATATGGAATTCATGACCAACCTAATCCTCCCAACCTGATCAATATTAACGAATACTACTAAGTACTAACTGAAAACCAAAGCCTACATATTGAATTTTGGTATTCTTTTGAGCTTTTCTTAAATTCAATCCTCCATGGATAATCCTTTTGCTCTACTCACAAGTCTCCTGGCTTCTTATTTTGTTTAAGAAATTCTGTTTATACTCATTTAAGCCAGTGGTAGCGAAGCTAACTAAGAGTCAATCTTAAATCCAATTGCGAGGTAGGAAAGACGAACCTTGGTAATGAAAAAATAGCAGTATTCAAATGACTAGAAACAGTTTTCGTTGCATTACATGAAATAAAAATTCAAGGAAAAAACATAGTCCAATGTATGAATAGGAGAGACTTCACCAAGCAGTAGTCATAATGGTTATGCAGGTCATAAAAGTTAAGTCAGGGAAATAACAAGAGTATCAGGAATGCCCGAGTATTATGCATGCTTGACTAGACTAGTCATAGAACAGATTAAATACCTTGAACATAATCACACTCGCCAAAATGGTTAGTGATGTGAACATTACATAGTAGATGGGGGATACAACGGCAGTATTGAAGGTATCAAGTGCCTGCAGCAAATGAAACAGACATATGAGAAAATGAACCACACCTAACAACTAACAAGCACTAAGGATTTGCTCATAGGGGGAAAACCCCCAAGTACCAACATAAAGACAATGAATTCTCACCTTGTTCAAATAGTTCATCTGCGTAAGCACACAAGTAATGACCACCATTGTGAAGGCCCAGGTTTGGGGATAGATAAGTTGATTCATTCCTGATAGTGTCAACTTTAACGCAATCCCAATTGCTTTAACACTCATGACCTGTTCAGTCAGAACTATCAGCATTTCACTCAACAAAATAGTACAAGGCACAACCAGAAGCCAAAAGGGGCAACAGCGAAATAGAAAGAAATACATACCGACAGAGAACCAACAAGAGAGCATATTCCTATGTACACCATAATATGTGTCTGGCCGTAGTCAGGGACGAAGTGGAATATAAGTACAAACACGGCAGTTATAACCAAGGCTGCGTAGAACAGAAAAGCTGGGGGAAAGAAAAGAGGAGACAAGAAACAATCATTCACTTCAGAAGCAAATTATAAGAGGATGAAATTAAATTCATAGAATGCACAAATAACCAGCAGCAAATTCTTAGAAGATCAAAGATTGCAAACCGAGTTTTAGTACATACCAGGCTCTGTAGCCAGATTCCAGACTTCTATCACAGATTCGATTTCGCGTTCTTGGGGAGCATGCAGGACGATGGTTATGGAACCCACAACACAAAGTGCACAACCAAGAACGCCGAAAATATGAAGCCTCTCTCTTAAAATAATGTGTGCAAGAACAGCACTGCAGAAACAGGAAATCATCAGAACCAATGCTGGAAATGCAAAACTTAAGATACAGGAAGATGGTATATCATGCCTGATGATGATGCTGAGAGCACCAAGTGGAGTAACCAGTATAGCAGGTGCAAACGCGTAAGCCGCAAAATTAGCTATTTCCCCAACAATCACTGTTGAAAAGCAACCAGATATCAGTTTTTATAGCAGGAATTATAAATCCAAGCTAGATTAAACAGACAAGTTTCAGGTGATCACTGAGTTCTACAAGCACTGCCCTATTCATTTATCTTATGGCCAGCCAATACTCTACGCATGAAAATAAGCCCTGCACATCAAGATCAGTAAACAGATGGCTCTAATTGTGCTGCCAGCTTTCAGCTCACTTCGTACTCTCTAAAAAAGGCTTAGTAATGAAAGATGGTAAATAAATGTAAGAGAACAAGCACGCTGATTCAATCCAAAGATAACATCAGTAACTCGGACTCTTAAAACCTCACTTTGCTTAACTTACTTGTTATCATGCCGATCCACCATAGAGGTTCGTACAGGTAAGAATAGCCCCCACTTCCTGCAAACCAAAATTAAGAGAATTTGTCAGGAAATCTTGTCATTTATGGTTGTAGCTAGCAAAAGGATTTCAAGAAAATCATGTTACATGCATATCCATTCCAAAAGCTGTCATAATATGGCAATTGAGATGCCCGCAAATGGCAGAGCTACAAGAAATTATCTATGCGAACTCATCAGAAAACACATCTAGAATCTTGAATACCAAACTTGCATCGCATCACTGAGGATTAAGACTAGATATGAGGGACATAAACCCTGATATATATTGAGACAAGGAGGGAAATTTAAGTGATTTGCAGGCACTATATCAGAGAATAAGATCTTGGCTAAGCATGAAACTGACTTGTCCTAACTAGCATAAACTTCACCAAGTCAAATACCATGGCAAAGTTTTAGTTTCTACGTTCACAGGGATCGACACACAGCGAGTGTGCAGAGCTAATCTGTAATTTGTTGTCACACATGGATCTGATGAGGCAAAACAATCAAGTGATCCATAACCAGTAGCTCCAAGTGGGATTCGTTCAGTCTCCATTCACTACAATAAGGAACACAGTCCATCCAGAACCCAAACCAATCTAATTCTCCATTGCCAGCAAGAAATTAACAATAAAAATTAGGCTCGCTTCATAATCAAACACACCCCCAACAAATTCCACAGTCAAAGTGGAAAAAAATAGAAACAAGCATTACAAACCCACCTGCCCTGACGCCCGAGGCACCAGCCTTCTTCAACCCTTTCTTCTTGACAATGAAGCTAGCACCAATAAAGAAGCTGGAAGACAGCGCCAAAACCAAACCCTTGATATTGTCGGACGACATCCCCTTGTAGGAGTCCCTCCAGCTCGCCACGGCCGTCGCCATGGCAGTATCCCCACACTAACCCAACACCACCGTCCGTACTAGTAATGTCGCAGAATCCAAACCCTAATCCCCCCACACGGGTACAACTCCGTCATAAACCCATCCTTTCCGAGAACCCCCCCGATGCCCGACTCAGTTACGACACTGAGTCGCGGACACAAACAAAACCCTTTTCACACAATTCGGCCACAGCGCAGAGCTCGTCCGATCGCGCCGGAGAGAGCTGAGTAGAGACGAGAAAGGGAGGTCGGAGCGAGTGTGGTGAGCTGATCAGTGCTTGACTCGGGTTGCGGTTGAATGAACTCGGGTAAGGGGAGAGACTGAGGCGAGTGGATCTAGGAGGAGGAGGAGGAATGAAGAAGAAAGGGTAGGGGAGGATTGTGCGCGTGTCGGCGCGGAGAGATAGAAGGAGCGAGTGGGTGGAAACAGCTAAGCTGCCTGGTGTGTTGGTGGGATGGTTGCGCGAAGAAGAAAGAGATTTTTGGTATTTTACTACTTTTGCTTTGGGATTGGATCGAGAGGAGAGAGAGAGAGAGAGAGAGACGACAGGCGGAAAGGGCCAGGCCAGCAAAATCAGGTTAATTCCCTCATTACGTCACTGGTTTTTTGGTTCATTGCCATCCTAGTCAGCCTTCTTTCTGGTTTGTATACTATTTAAATAATGGTTAATGGTTATCATTAATATTGTTGTTCAGGGGTTTAGTCGACAAAATTCTCCTGATTGAGATGCAGGAACAAGTCATTGAATGCATTACCCTGAAGGAAAAACTCAATGAGTCTATTTATGTTCCCTAGAGCATACTTTCCTCCAAAAATGTCAAATAGAGCTATTACCCAACTAAAAGAAAATATTTTTCGTGAATGCGTAAGGTCTATTACTATCACAGTTCTCTAGATTGATACTCAGGGCTTGGACTTGCAATCGGAACAGCGAGCGCGATCTGAATAAACTTGACACGAACTTCGGTAGTCTCATCAAAATCCCATAAGGAATTCTCAAAGTTATTCATTTCCAACTGACCTTCAGATGCTTCAACTGCCATAGCGAGGATGAAAAGATTGATACTGCTAGTTCAATTGGAGTCATGACCATGGCATCGATAAAATGCTAGAATTTGTGGATTGCATTGAGGAGCTAATCCATGAGTTTCACTTTGTGAGGGGATCTACAGGCACACTATCTCGACACGACATAATCCCACTTCAAAACAAGCAAAAGGTTTCACAACATGATATATACCAATAATAGCTGTCTTTTCAATGACTTAAGACGAGCCTATTGCACCTTGAGCAAGAAGAGCGTTCAATTTCTTCTGGAATATCGTAAATTTATGACCCCTAAAATTGACATGATCCATAGATGAGATAGATTATAGCACCATTTTACCATCAACAAAAAGTCATTTCACTAAGGCTAAGCATAATAGCATATGATTAACCCATACAAGACAAGTAATGAGTTTGCATCAAAGTTTAATGTAGGAACCAAGAATGAATAACCTAAATAGTATAAGAACATGTTTGTTACAAAACCCCGGTGGAGAGACGTTTGTTAGCACTCAACAATCGATGTCAAAGATTTCTTCAAGCGAAAGAAAAGAATATTTTCCGAATTCCGAGCAAACAAAGAAGTGGAAAAGAAAAGAGGTAAAAGAAGAGAAGGAAGACCAGCAGTGACTGTGACATACAGAAAGAGGGAAAGGGGCAAGTCCTCGTCAGTACTGCGAAAGGAGGAAATGGAGAACAGCAAGAAAGGCTTATTCTTTTTGGGTCAACAACAGCCTGAAGACTGGAGGGTTAGCTTATCCTCCAGTATCAAACCCAGCAGGACCTCAGTTGCTGGTTTCCCAGAAGAATACAGAGTAGTTGTACAAGTAACCCAAGACAGTATTTAGCTTCATTTTTCCCCCCCATAAGCAATGATTGAACATTATGCAGTCATGTACTGCAGAATTTACACTCACAAACTAAGCAAGTATAAAGGCAAAAGCACAAGGGGAGATGCACTTAGAAGTGGTAACTCAATTCCCCGGATCGCTGCAAGAACCGATTGTAACCCGGTGCCCTGGACTGTACATTACTAGGCTGCATCGTCTTAGATTCTGTGTGGCATGTCACCAATCTGCAAGGCATAGAGAGTAGGCTTTTTGCAAGGAGAGCAATCACAGAAGTTGGACAGCAGCGATGGATGGTATTTTCTCGCGCAGCTTCTGTGTAACAGCAACACGAACAGTCATCACGCCAGCTGCTGGCCCTGTGATTCGAACTTTCACTATCGGCTCTTCGATTGTTACTAGTTCAAGAGACCCTCCAGCTGCGCCCACAAGATATGGCCTGATCTCTTCTAGTACCTGAAGCAAATGACACATTGCAACCAAGGTTAAGAACCATTAAGTCAAGATAAAAGGATTTTAGGGGATGCCCTCTAAATGTTTGCCTAGGTGATTTGACAAACCAGCCTGACTAGTGACTGGAGCAACAAGGGAAAACGTGTGGGTTTGCCGAAACAAAGCTGGTAATAAGATTTAAGCCTTTGACGAAACAAGGTTCACAAAACTGCAAGGTATATGGTAAAGACCAGAAGAAAGATTCTCAAGATCCAAGAAGTAGCACCCTGAACGGACATGGATGTGAGTGTGTCATCAGGGTGAAGATAAGCACCTGTACAGTGGCATTTTTTTGGAGGATAGAGAAGTGCAATGGTAATTCTATATTCCAATGGATAGAAATTCAGAAACACGGGAGATACTCACGGCACTCTGCCTCTATCTACTTTGACCTAAAGTGCAACAATTGTATTTAGGCAATGCAGCCAACTAAATTTCTGTTACAGCTCTAAAACCACTTGGTCACCAGCTCTTTCTCTACATTATATCGTGTCTCAGGACAATCAGACCTAGCTCTTGAATAGAATCAGCTAGGGGACTAGAAACACACACTTTGACTCCTCATTCAACTTATAAGAACCAATGGTTCAACTATGCAGGTAACTGGAACTGGCATATACCATAGTAGGTTCTAATTCACTTCCAAAAAAGTAACTGGAACTTCTAAACAAGACCACACAGGACACTGAATCGGGTATTTCATCACTGGGTTTTCGACCTTCATTTAAATTATAATTTCCTAACTTCACAGCAACAAACTTTATCAGTTATTAACTTGTGTATATGCAGTCTGTACCATCAACCATATGTTTGCGCATTGGAGCAACAAAAGATGAAACCAACTACACCAAATGACGTGCTCGACATTATACCAGCATATAAAAAGCAGGAATGAAGTAAACCCAATACCTTCTCTATGTTTTCTTCATTTAGCTCAAGCCCAGTTTCTTCATCTGCTATAGGTTCCACTGCCACGATTTCAGGAATTTTCTCCATTAACCTACGCTCAATACCCAACTTCATCGTGGTAACAGAGCTAGGACACGATCCACATGCTCCTTGTAACTTCAACTTCACAACATTCCCATCAATTTCGTGTAAAGCTACATTACCACCATCGGAAATGAGATATGGTCGAATCTCATCCAACACACTCTCAACATTCTCTGCAGTTAGTGGCAATTCGATGGCCGAATTCGGAGTTGCCACCGCCTTTACACCTTTACAATGACAAGACAAAAATAAAGAACCAAACTTTACACAAAGCTGAACTCGATGAGGCTCAAGCTCCAAACAAATCAATCGAACACTAACCGAATTTCCGTGACAAGCTAGGAGCACGAATCTTCACAGACCGGCATGGAATGCCCTGAGGCCGGTTGCAACTCCTGTTAACAGAGACTCTGCTGCCAAAGAAACTGCCACTCTGTGAAAATCGTATGAATTGTAAGTTCATAATAGCGAATAACTTCTCCAATAAAACGGGGGGTCCAACAATTCCGAGACATGAAGATTAGCAAGAAACAATTTACCTTCCCCGGACGACGATGAAGAAAGAAAGAAGGAGAAGGGTCTAGGGTTGTCGGCGCGGAGCAGCAAACTGAATTCGCCGCCATAGCCTGCATCTCTTCCTACCTCGATTGAGAAATGAAAGAAATCCCCCCAAGGTGATCGCCGAGAGAATGACCAGTCGATTCCTAAAAGCTTTCTCTTCCGGGAGCTAACTCGGCGAGCGTGGTTTCTTCACTAATCGGAGGAAGCGTTCGCCCTTGGCCGGCTGGAATTCCTGGGTTCTGTTTGTTTTCCAGGAAAGAATGATGGGTGGAAGAGAATTACGGACCTTCGAAGAGGCGGAGGCGAGGTGCTGAAAGGCAAGTCCGACAAAAAAATTGGCAAAAGAGACGGCTTTTCGGGTCAAATTTTGCAAACCCAAATTAGACCGACAATCTGTTCCGTTTTCTTCCTCCTCCTCCTGACCGGTTCGGTCACCATACGATCTGACCATGGGACGGGCCGGACGACTCTGATACAGAACATCCATTCCTAGGCCTGGCCCACTTAATTTCTGGGCCTACGTATCAAGTAGCCCAATCCCCTGCCTTCCCAGTTCCCACTTCCGTTTCGGAAAAAGAAAAACCCTTCTCAAATAAGTAGCTCTGCTCTCACCCCTCAGGAGACTCAGAACCCTAGTAAATTGCAGCGCCGTTCAACCCTCTCTCACCTTATTCCCTCGCTCTCTGCTCCCATCAAGGTAAGCTTGTCGCCGTTCCCGTTACCGATCTCCCTCACCTCTTTGACGTCGAGGGTTTTGTTAGCGTCTCCGTCTGCCGCTTTTTATTTTACGCTCTGTTGCGTTCTTCCGGTGATTTTGGTTCCTGTTCCTCCGTCGTCAGGTAGAAACAATGTCGTTCGGGGAGGTTGCTTGCAGCTACGCCGTCATGATTCTCCACGACGATGGCATCCCCATCACTGTACGTTTCTCTTCGAACCCTAATCGAATGTTGTTAGATTCTTTTGGATTAGTTTTCGTGGAGGATTGGCTTAGAGGTTGTTTTGTTTTGTGAATGTTCGTTGATAATAGGCTGAGAAAATCAGCGCATTGGTTAAGGCTGCCAACGTGAACGTCGAGTCTTACTGGCCAAGCTTGTTCGCCAAGTTGGCTGAGAAGCGCAATGTTGATGACCTGATCATGAACGTTGGTACTGGTGGCGGCGGTCCTGCTGCTGTTGCTGCTCCAGCTGGTGGTGCCGCTGCTCCGGCTGCTGCGGCTGCCCCTGCTGCTGAGGAGAAGAAGAAGGTATATTAGCTCGGCAGCTGCCCGCCCCATGTTTTTCTTCCTATTGCTTTTGCTTGTAGAGGATCAAGTGTGTTTTATTTATCTTGATCTTGTTTCGGTGTTGGTTCTAATAATCGGTGTTTGGACGATTTTGCAGGAAGAGCCTCAGGAAGAGAGTGATGAGGACCTGGGTTTCGGCCTCTTTGATTAGAGAACAGATGGCATCAGTATGGTTTAGTCTTCTTCTCGTACCTGAAGTTTTGGTTTTAATTGTAGTTGGTAGTCTGTTGGCGGACTGAGGCCTTGTTTTAGTTACGATTAAGAACGGAAGGTTATGGTGTTGGAACTTTGGAATGGTAATTGACCTGTTAGTCGCTTAATCGCAGTGCAGTATCTTCTGGTTTTTACAGAGTTATGCAATGCCCTTTGCTCACTTGAATTTTTTCTATCCTGCCTTGTGTTGTTTAAGATCCTTTTTGGTAGTGGTTTGAGCTTGTTTGTGGTGTAGTTTGTCGAATTTGATTCTCATCGTGGGATGGATAGCTTGATGGGATGGATAGCTTGATAAAATGCAACAGTGGCAATTGCTATAAATGAACTGTTTGTCTCTGAGACCCGATACGTAAGAACAAGATCGTCCTCGTTTTTGGCCTGAGGCTATTTTTAAACGATGATTAAGTCAATCAAGCACCAAATTGGGCCAATATATTTTGGGATGGTATTTTCGTAATTATTTGAGCGATTTTTTTCGAAAGGCCATTTTTCTTGGATTTTGAAGAATAAAGATGGTGGATTCGGACTGAGGCTATTCTTAAACAACAATTAAGTCCATCCAGGGCCAATTTGGGCGGATTTCTTCCGGGTCCATTTTTCGCAGACTCCAAAGGGGTACCATCACAGATTTCGGGCGATTTTTTCGAAATGTCATTTTCTTTCGATTTTCGAGGCTACAGATCACGGATTCGGCTCGGGGCTATTCTCCACCGATAATAAAGTTATTTGGTCCTATTCTGCACCGAATTGGGCCAATATATTTTGAGATAGCATTTTCGTAATTTTTTTAGTAATATTTTTCGACAGACCATTTTCCTTGGATTTTGAAGAATAAAGATGGTGGATTCAGTCTGAGGCAATTCTTCAACGACAATTAAGTCCATCCAGGCCCAATTTGGGCGGATTTCTTCCGGATCCATTTTTGGCAGACTCCAAAGGGGTATCATCACAAGTTTCGGCGATTTTTCCGAAATGTAATTTTCTTTCGATTTTGGAGGCTACAGATCACAGATTCGGCTCGAGGAGATTCTCAACCGATAATAAAGTCTATTGGTCCTATTCTGCGCCGATGATTAAGTCAATTAAGCACCGAATTGGGCCAATATATTTTGGGATGGCATTTTCGTAATTATTAGAGCAATTTTTTTCGAAAGGCCATTTTCCTTGGATTTTGAAGGATAAAGATGGTGGATTCGGCCTGAGGCTATTCTTCAAAGACGATTAAGTCCATCCAGGGCCAATTTGGGCGGATTTCTTCCGGGTCCATTTTTGGCAGACTCCAAAGGGGTACCATCACAGATTTCGGGCGATTTTTCCGAAATGCCATTTTCTTTCGATTTTGGAGGCTACAGATCACGGATTCGGCTCGAGGATATTCTCCACCGATAATAAAGTCTATTGGTCCTATTCTGCGCCGATGATTAAGTCAATTAAGCACCGAATTGGGCCAATATATTTTGCGATGACATTTTCGTAATTATTATAGCAAATTTTTCCGAAAGGCCATTTTCCTTGGATTTTAAAGGATAAAGATGGTGGATTCGGCCTGAGGCTATTCTTCAATGACGATTAAGTCCATCAAGGGCCAATTTTGGCGGATTTCTTCCAGGTGCATTTTTGGCAGATTCCAAAAGGGGTACCATCACAGATTTCGGGCGATTTATCCGAAATGCCATTTTCTTTCAATTTTGTAGGCCACAAATCACAGATTCGGCTCGAGGCTATACTCCAGCCATAATAAAGTCTATTGGTCCTATTATGCGCCAATGATTAAGTCAATTAAGCACCGAATTGGGCCAATATATTTTGGGATGACATTTTCGTAATTATATGAGGAATTTTTTTCGAAAGTCCATTTTTCTTGGATTTTGAAGGATAAAGATGGTGGATTCAGCCAGAGGCTATTCTTCAACGACGATTAAGTCCATCCAGGGCCAATTTAGGCGGATTTTTTCCGGGTCAATTTTTGGCAGACTCCAAAAGGGTATCATCACAGATTTCGTGCGATTTTTCCGAAATGCCATTTTCTTTCGATTTTGGAGGCTACAGATCAGTGATTCGGCTAGAGGCTATTCTCCACCGATAATAAAGTCTATTGGTCCTATTCTGCGTCGATGATTAAGTCAATTAAGCACCGAATTGGGCCAATATATTTTGGGATGGAATTTTCGTAATTATTTGAGCAATTTTTTTCGAAAGGCCATTTTCCTTGGATTTTGAATGATAAAGATGGTGGATTAGGCCTGAGGCTATTCTTCAACGACGATTAAGTCCATCCAGGGCCAATTTGGGCGGATTTCTTCCAGGTCCATATTTGGCAGACTCCAAAGGGGTACCATCACAGATTTCGGGCGATTTTTCCGAAATGTCATTTTCTTTCGATTTTGGAGGCTACAGATCATGGATTCGGCTCAAGGATATTCTCCACCGATAATAAAGTCTATTGGTCCTATTCTGCGCCGATGATTAAGTCAATTAAGCACCGAATTGGGCCAATATATTTTGGGATGGCATTTTCGTAATTATTCGAGCAATTTTTTTCGAAAGGCCATTTTCCTTGGATTTTGAACGATAAAGATGGTGGATTCGGCCTGAGGCTATTCTTAAACGACAATTAAGTCCATCAAGGGCCAATTTGGGCGGATTTCTTCCTGGTCCATTTTTGGCAGATTCCAAAGTGGTACCATTACAGATTTCGGGCGATTTATCGGAAATTCCATTTTCTTTCGATTTTGTAGGCCACAGATCACGGATTTGGCTCGAGGCTATACACCAGCCATAATAAAGTCTATTGGTCCTATTATGCGCCAATGATTAACTCAATTAAGCACCGAATTCGGCCAATATATTTTGGGATGGCATTTTTGTAATTATTTGAGCAATTTTTTACGAAAGGCCATTTTCCTTGGATTTTGAAGGATAAAGATGGTGGATTCGGCCTGAGACTATTCTTCAACGACGATTAAGTCCATCCAGGACCAATTTGGGCGGATTTCTTCTGGGTCCATTTTTGGCAGACTCCAAAGGGGTACCATCACAGATTTCGGGCGATTTTTCTGAAATGCCATTTTCTTTCGATTTTGGAGGCTACTGATCACGGATTCGGCTAAAGGATATTTTCCACCGATAATAAAGTCTATTGGTCCTATTCTACGCCATAATTAAGTCAATTAAGCACCGAATTGGGCCAATATATTTTGTGATGGCATTTTCGTAATTATATGAGCAATTTTTTTTGAACGGCCATTTTCCTTGGATTTTGAAGGATAAAGATGGTGGATTCGGCCCGAGGCTATTCTTAAACGACATTTAAGTCCATCCAGGGCAAATTTGGGCGGATTTCTTCCGGTTCCATTTTTGGCAGACTCCAAAGGGGTACCATCACAGATTTCGGGCGATTTTTCCGAAATGCCATTTTCTTTCGATTTTGAAGGTTTAGATCACGGATTCGGCTCGAGGCTATTCTCCACCGATAATAAAGACTATTGATCCTATTCTGCGCCAATGATTAAGTCAATTAAGCACCGAATTGGGCCAATATATTTTGGGATGGCATTTTCGTAATTATTTGAGCAATTTTTTCGAAAGGCCATTTTCTTTTGATTTTGGAGGATAAAGATGGTGGATTCGGACTGAGGCTATTCTTCAACGACGATTAAGTCCATCTAGGGCCAACTTGGGCGGATTTCTTCCGGGTCCATTTTTGGGAGACTCCAAAGGGGTACCATCACAGATTTCGGGCGATTTTTCCGAAATGACATTTTCTTTCGATTTTGGAGGCTACAGATCACGGATTCGGCTCGAGGCTATTCTCCACCGATAATAAAGACTATTGATCATATTCTGCGCCGATGATTAAGTCAATTAAGCACCGAATTGGGCCAATATATTTTGGGATGGCATTTTCGTAATTATTTGAGCAATTTTTTCGAAAGGCCATTTTCTTTTGATTTTGGAGGATAAAGATGGTGGATTCGGACTGAGACTATTCTTCAACGACGATTAAGTCCATCTAGGGCCAACTTGGGCGGATTTCTTCCGGGTCCATTTTTGGCAGACTCCAAAGGGGTACCATCACAGATTTCGGGCGATTTTTCCGAAATGCTATTTTCTTTTGATTTTGGAGGCTACAGATCACTGATTCGGCTCGAGGCTATTCTCCACCGATAATAAAGTCTATTAGTCCTATTCTGCGTCGATGATAAAATCAATTAAGCACCGAATTGAGCCAATATATTTTGGGATGGCATTTTCGTAATTATTTGAGCAATTTTTTCGAAAGGCCATTTTATTTTGATTTTGGAGGATAAAGATGGTGGATTCGGACTGAGGCTATTCTTCAACGACGATTAAGTCCATCTAGGGCCAACTTGGACCGATTTCTTCCGGGTCCATTTTTGGCAGACTCCAAAGGGGTACCATCACAGATTTCGGGCGATTTTTCCGAAATGTCATTTTCTTTCGATTTTGGAGGCTACAGATCACGAATTCGGCTCGAGGCTATTCTCCACCGATAATAAAAGTCTATTGGTCCTATTCTGCGTCGATGATTAAGTCAATTAAGCACCGAATTGGGCCAATATATTCTGGGATGGCATTTTCGTAATTATTTGAGCAATTTTTTTCGAAATGCCATTTTCCTTGGATTTTGAAGGATAAAGATGGTGGATTCGGCCTGAGGCTATTCTTCAACGACGATTATGTCCATCCAGGGCCAATTTGGGCGGATTTCTTCCGGGTCCATTTTTGGCAGACTCCAAAGGGGTACCATCACAGATTTCGGGCGATTTTTCCGAAATGCCATTTTCTTTCGATTTTGGAGGCTACAGATCACGGATTCGGCTCAAGGCTATTCTCCACCGATAATAAAGTCTATTGGTCCTATTCTGCGCCGATGATTAAGTCAATTAAGCACCGAATTGGGCCAATATATTTTGGGATGGCATTTTCGTAATTATTTGAGCAATTTTTTCGAAAGGCCATTTTCTTTTGATTTTGGAGGATAAAGATGGTGGATTCGGACTGAGGCTATTCTTCAACGACGATTAAGTCCATCTAGGGCCAACTTGGGCGGATTTCTTCCGGGTCCATTTTTGGGAGACTCCAAAGGGGTACCATCACAGATTTCGGGCGATTTTTCCGAAATGACATTTTCTTTCGATTTTGGAGGCTACAGATCACGGATTCGGCTCGAGGCTATTCTCCACCGATAATAAAGACTATTGATCATATTCTGCGCCGATGATTAAGTCAATTAAGCACCGAATTGGGCCAATATATTTTGGGATGACATTTTCGTAATTATTTGAGCAATTTTTTCGAAAAGCCATTTTCTTTTGATTTTGGAGGATAAAGATGGTGGATTCGGACTGAGGCTATTCTTCAACGACGATTAAGTCCATCTAGGG